TGCTGCCATGGTCGTGGTGCAGGAGACAAACATCAGTGGCAACGAAAACTGCCAAAACGACAAAAGTCAACACTGTCAAAAACAGCCCATGACCGGCCTGACAGACTGGGGTTTGGGCTTGAAAGTCAAAAGGGTGGTTGATATAGGGGCCTGAATAGTTAGAATAGCATTTTGGGTCCACTACACTAGAATTATGATAAGGAGCCCCCAAAGTAGTATGGGTGATTATTTCAGCCCCCTATATTCCAGTACCCTTATACTAATCCTTGTAGGATCCTTTTCAAGGAACCCGTTTGAATAGGTAATTATAAAGGCCCCTATGTTAGTTAACACAAACAGCTCCGATGGCCCTCCGAAGTCAAGCGCGAGGACACACAGCTGAGGCTCAGGATGCCCAAAGCTCACAGACTCTTCTGACACTTCTCTCGGCTCTTGCTACGGAATTAGTAAATTTAAGCTACCATGGCAAAAGCCATATTATATGGATGTCACCGACTCCGATTAGCAGTGGTTCTACTTTTTTGGGCTTTACTAGTATTAATAGGGCCAGGGTTTGGGCGGTATATCGTACTATAGCTATAAAAAGGAACCAAATCGGATCTTGTTACGGAACTAAATATAAGCTACCATGGCAAGAACCATATTATTTACCATAGATCCCGACTATGGTAACTTAAACTAAACTCCCTTAGTCTTGCCCATGACGACCCTTGAACCGAAGGGGTCCTTGGTAAGCCACTCCGCGCCCCACTCCTCGCTGTGGAGCATGTCTTCGGTCCTGCAAGTAGCCGGAACGGCTCATGATACAAATCCTGCGTTAATAAGGAATATACCATAATTCCCATAGCTTGGGGTCCTTACGGTAATGTAGGATTTATATCATCAACCGAAGAACGCAAGCATTGGAAGACATTCACTGAAGAGACCACAGCGACAGACGATGGCCGAAGGCTCTGCAGCATGAAGATGAGACCCTTTGGGCTTTTTCGAAAACTTGGGGTACCTTGGTTTGGGGACCTTACAAAAGGATCCTACTTTTTAAAGTAAAATGTCAGGGTTTCCGAAACTTATAATAAGGATCCTACTATTGAGGGTACTATTTGAGGGCCTAACCTGTTTTCGGAAACTCCCATTTTGCAAACTCCGGTCCAGGGGAAGGTGATGCCGTAAAGCATGCCCTTGCGCGTCTTGGTGTGATTCTCCGTGACCGTCTCGTTCGTGATGGTCTTCCATGCAGGGACCTCGGGGAGCGACGTTGGGGGGCTGCAAGGCAATGGTCAAGGTCAGAAGCACAAGTGCAACTAAAATATACGGTAGCCACATAACGACACTGGCTTGAGACAGCGCATACTCACAACAACAACCGACTAGAACATATCTCTCACACAGACACACACACACAAACACACCCTAGAAACAAGGATGTGTCGCTTTGTAATTCTCAGTTGTCTAAGCGCACTGTCGATCTATGCTACACATGATCTTGCAACCACATGTGACATGCTCGCATTCCGTCTGCAACATATTGCAACTTCGTTTAGAAGTACGCGTACCATCGGAGTTGCAACTTTGAGCTAAGATCACGGTATCCTTGCAAGCATAAGATACTGCACTTAGATGCTTTCATCTAGTTTCCTGAGATGGTCCTTTCGCGCCTTTTCATGCCTTTTCCATCGCCCCCCCTGGCAACGCAGGGGTGCCTTCTTCTTGAGCTCTCTCTTGCACCTGCACAGGAAAGGTTTCGGGCAGTCAGGGGTTGGATTTCGAGTTTGGTGGCTGAGGGGTCGGACCCTAAGCGCACAGCCCTGCCTCAAGGACTGGGTTGAGGATTGAAGGTTAGGGTCAGGGTTTTGGGTGTGGGAGGGAAGTCTGAGTCTGACTTGAACTGTTGCCAGGGTGCGGCCTGGTAGAAATGGGCAGATGCCTCTAACGGCTACCTCCCAGAGACGCCAATACCCCTTAATCAAGGAATTTTAGGGATCCTACTACAATTTAAAGTATAATCCTTAATAAAGGGATATTGGAGTCTCTGGGCTCGACTACCTCTAAACCCACAGTCCGGTTTAGGGTTGACGGTCTTGACCGTCCTGCTGATGCTACTATTCTACTCGTCCTTGCGCGTCTCCTCCGGCTCCTCCTCCTCCCCTTTTTTGCTCCTGCTGCTGCTACCACTACCACTACCATTGCCAGCGCCACTGCCACCACCACTACCACTGCTACTGCCACTACCACTACCACTACTACATACTACTACTACTACTACTACTACTATTATTATTGAACGCTGTGCGAGCGGGCTCTGCACATAGCGGGCGATTGCCGCGGTGCACTCACTTTGGTGTGAAACTGACTCAGACCCTATAGCTGATCCGCCCAGGTCAAAAGACCTTTGAGTGGTTGCGGCCTACAGGCTTTGAGCTAACTGGCAGTGATCAGCCAAAGCGAGTTTGCAGGCTGCAGGGTATCAAGCTCCAGATTGTTGTATGTACCTGAACATTGAAACGGAACTCACGTTGTGTATGCTGTCAGCAGAGCAGCAGTAGCGCGACCGGCAGCAGGCTAGGGCATGATTTCCGACTGACAGCGGCGGCATCCGGCAGAAGGGCCATCAGTCTGTCTCGGAAGAGACGCAAGTGAAAACAGGCATGGCCTCCGACTACTACTACTACTACTACTACTACTACTACTACTACTACTACTACTACTACTAGTACTACTACGACTGCGAATACTGCGACGACGACGACGACTACGACTACTACTACTACTGCTGCTGCTGCTGCTACTACTACGACTACTACTACTGCTTCTTCTACGACTGCGACTGCGACTGCGACTGCGACGGCTTCTTCTTCTTCTTCTACTACTACTACTACTACTACTACTACTACTACTACTACTACTACTGCCACTGCGACGGAGCACTTCCGCCACCACGACAAGGACTGCGACGACGATTGCTACTACTGCAGTTGCCGCGAACACCGCACGACGTTAGAACCTGTGTCGGCAGTGCTACCATTTCTAGATTGGCTTGTCGCTACAAATCCAAAGAACTAAATGCCAAACTCTACAACCTCCCGAACTTTATGCCCCAGTTCTCATCATGGCTCTTGAGTTTGGCCGCTACAGTAGCAGCCCGCGCCTTTGCTGGATGCGCCAATCCGCTTCCGCAACTCCCTCGGGACGTTCCTCTTCCACCACGCCGACCCTCCAGGTTTGGGGTCTACTTGGAAGATCACCGGACTTAGTAAGTAGGGTTGTAAGTAAGGGAACTACAGTTATAATCACTTGTAACCCCAATTAAGGTACTTATAACCCTCCTTACTAAGTCCCATGATCCTCCAAGTAGGCTTCAAGCTTTGGACAAGCTTGACCGGCTCAGGGGTTGTTTAGGGTTTCGGTCTTGAGCTTCGAGATTTTGCATCTGCTGCCCAAGTGGGTGCCCGTGTGTGAAGCAACGAAAGTGCTGTGTTGCGGTGGTGCTATGCCGCGGTGCCATCCATTCATCTTCAGATCAGTGTGCCACTGTGAAGTTTAGCTCATGTCTGCTTGCACAGTTCCCTAATCCCTTTCTTTTGTATCGCAGGAAGGAGCTACCAGGTAATTCGAGTGTTACCCTGGCCTCTGGACTATCGCACGATGTTTACAACGTCAAACTGCAGAGCGGAATGCTCGACGTAGGACTGCGGTCAAGAGCCCGAGATGCTGAAATTCTGACCGCACCCCTTCCAAAGAGATCCTTGCGGTGCAGTGACCAACCTGCACTTCCGATGATTCCCCTTTCGACTTCAAAAGCCGCCTAAGACAACCCGAAGCGAGGGTCCAGCACCCCAAACCTCAAGCCACCCCCCATTGAGCTCGAGGGCTTCAGATGTCTTTGAACTTCGAATCAAGGCTGCTAGGACTAGGATGTGATCGACTGCCTCAAAAACGCTATCAAACCAGAGGCATCCTATGCGTAAAAACCCATACGAAGCCCTGCCTACACCCTACACCCCAAATCCTCAACATCCCTGTACCCTAAGCATCCCTGAACCCTAAACCCGAAACCAAACCCAAAAGCCACCAAGATCCCCCTCGTGGCTGTCCAGTTTGAGGCCCGAGCGGGCCCCCATGGAGCTTTGCCCAGGACACGGCGGGATCCTCCGGAACTTCAGGCTTAGTGTGGGATTCGGGTTTAGGTTAAGGGCTGGGGTTTAGGGTTTGGGAGTTGGAGGTTGGGGTTTAGGGATTGAGACTGAGAAGGAAGAAGTTGTTCTCCCTCTCCAAAGAGTCGCCGTAAACCCGCGCTTGCCCGGAAGCTCTCTGCAAGCCCTCCGCAGCCTCAAACGGCTCCCATGGAAGCACGCCCATGGCTCTGCAGATGCAGCGAGCTAAGCCCTTCAAGCACTACCAGGGCGATTTCCGGTGGATCTCACGTATGAGACTCTGAGACTTTTTGTGTTAACCCCCGAAGGGTGCAGTAGGCGAGGATCGGACAACCTGTGGCGGTTGGAGATGCCGGGTGAGGCTTCAGCATCGGTGTGCGAGGTCTGGCAAGGCACTGATACTACAACTGGAGCCGAAGAATCGTTCAGGCTTGTCAGGCCCATAGAAGCACAACCATTCAAACCCATCAAGCAGCAGGAGGCCCGTGCAATCTACGTTGGGGGTCTGCCGGGTCTGCATGATTAGAACAAGTTTTGGGGAATAATGCTACAGTAAGTAGTGAGGCTTCTGCACTTCTGTCAAGCTCTCCAGCTGACTCTGCCAGTGATTCTCATTGAGGAGATGCATGGCCGAAAAGTGCGATGTCCGGCAAAACAGACAAAAATCAGCGCATCATAGATTAAAGGTCCCTCGATGCAGTAATCCTGAGAACCCTACAGCTTTTAAAGCCCGCAAGGCCTAAACCCAGCACACTAAAGAAACTAAACGCCGCAATTCCGAAAAGCAAAGCCCTAAAGCTCTAAACCCTACAACCCCAAACTCTGCGTTGTTCCTCCAAGGCCCCCGGCGAAAAACAGCGCGAGGCCCAGCCGCTCCTCCGATGGGAGCTTGGCCAGGACTTTCGCCTCCAATTCGGCAGTGAAGAGCAGTAAAAAATTCAGGGTGCTACAAGGGTTTCTATAAGGGGACCCCATTTTAAAGCCCTATAGATCCACCCAGTGGGAATGCTATTGTGAAATCCTACAGATCCCTTTGAAGGGCTAGTGGAAGAGTAGGACAGGGCTTTAGGATCAAGGCTTCAGGGCTCTGCGCTCTAATTTGAGACAACCACAACGTCAAGACCTTCTCGAAGCTGCTCCTACCCAAATCTGAAATCCTAGCCCTAAGCCCCATGCAGATCTATGCAGATCTATGCAGCCCCCGCCCGATGAATGGCCCCTGCTGCACCGTTCCTAGGGCCTAGGTCCCCTCGGCGTACGTCCGAAATCCCCAAAGGATATGCCAGAGAGTTTATAGTTTCACGGTGTCACGTGATTAGAGAAAGAAAGAGACAGAGAGGGAGAGAGAAAGACAGAGAGAGAGAGAGACACGTATACATACATATGTATATACACCCCTGTATATGTACATATATATATATATATATACAGTCAGTGTTTATACACATGCAGTAAGAACAAACAAAATACAAATCTGAGTTGACCTCGCCGGCCTTCTGCTGCATCGCCTTGCTCTGAGACCTCCCGGGCAAAGGCACAGTTTAGGGTTTAGGGTTGGGTGCCGGGAGGGTTGGGGTCATGACATGTTATGATGATGTACCTGGTATATGTATGGCACTATGCATGTCAGTATGTGCTGTATGTATGTGTGTATGTATAGACGAACAAATTCCACGGCGTCCCCTTCTGACAGATTAACGGACATACCTACAAACATACGTACATGCATGCATGCATGGAAACATAAATACAGACAGACAGACAGCCACATGTATGCATTCATACATACACCGTGCATGCATGCATACAAACTCAGACACACATAAGCATACATATACGTCTTGTGTGATCTCTGGGAAACACAGGTGGCTTCAGGCGCTCAGCTCTTTTGTTCCATGGCTCGAAGCACGTCACCGTAACGTAAGGGGACCTTTGGTCCGAAAAGCCACAGCATGATCTTTCTCTGCAAGCGCTCGCAGAACGACATGTTTGGAGCTTGGGTGTGTATCTGACTTTCACACACCCCTAAAATTGACAAGCTCCAAACTCTACTTCTTCATGCCGTAGCCTTTGTACTTCTTCTCACACCACTGATGCAACACTTCATCTTCAGTAAATATGAAACATCCTTCTTTCAGAACCCTGTAAAGGAGACTAAGAGGCGCCCCTATCTTGGTCAATCCATCCACTATCATCTGCTTAGTCGCAACCCATCGCAAGGTGATATTGTGTGCTCGAATATCGTTCTTCACCAGCAGCATCTGAATCGCCATCCTCTTGTCCTTGAGACTCACCGTGCTGCTGTTTGCATGGTCATACACCGGCTTGCAATCCACAACCGCTGTCAGCTTGACTTTCTGGGCCCACTCAGCGTCTTTCTGTAGTGTATATGACTCATTCATAGCTTCATTCCACATGGATCGAATCCATCTGGCCTCTGCTATTGCCCGAGACAGACTCAGCAGCTCTGCTCCCAGCGTCGAATGCGTCTGTCTATCCTGCTTGAAGCTTTTCCACCTCATCACTGAAAAGCCGCCCCACTGCCCCTGACCCAACAATGGATCACAAGCAGCAATCAGGAAGCCAGCTTGACTGCACCTGTTTGATGCATTGGCCCATGAAGCATCAGACAACACAGTGAACTGCAGAGTCTCCGGTGGAATAGGCAGCACTCTCACCGCAGTCTGTGCATGTCTGTGCCATCTCACGAGCCTGACTTATCAAGCGGTTTGCCTCCAGTAAATCAGCAACCTTCGCCGCATTCACTCGTTGCTGTAAAAGCGAACACCATGCTGACAAGTCTGGCCTGCTTCCTACAGCGAGCCAGTTCACAGCTCCCAGACACGCGCGAAGTGCCTGACGCTCATTCTCATCCACACTCTCTTCTTTCTCACTCTTTCTTTCTCGACTCAACGGAATCCCTTTCAACTGCAAAGCATAATCCATTTGACTAATCAGGATTTCCCCGGACTTGTCCTGTTTGAGAACTTTGCCCAGGAATTCCCCTTCGCCTGTTTTCCAGTGCCTGAAAGGATACATATCTCGCAACGGCTTGATCACATGCTCATGAAAGTGTGCATTGCCTCCTAGACACATGTCGTCAACGTGCAGTGCTATCGCTCCAGCAAGCTTGCCTTGATGATAATACCAAAAGACGCAAGGATCGAACTTAGATACACGCGTGCCTAATTTGCACAGAGAGGCACTAAAACTCTTCCACCACTGCTTCGGAGCATCTGCCAGTCCGTAAACCGTCTTGACGGCCTCGATCGAGTAGTCCTCATTGGGATCATCATAACCAGGAACACCTCCAGGTGGCATCTCCACAAACAGCCTTCCCCGCTTCTCTTCAAGTTTGTCACCAGGCAAAAGGCACCTTCCACGTCAGCAATCTGCAACCTCCACTTGTGACTAGCAAGTACTTGTGTCACCACCGCAAATCCTTCGGCCGACAACGTTGGAGCATCAGTATCCAACTCAAGCAACTGTGGATCCAAGTAGCCTCTGATGCACCCCCTTGCCTTCAAGTCCATGGTTTCCGGAGCCTTGCCTACCTCGCCTTCCGTCACAACGAATCTAGATTTCATGAACTTCTTGCCGCACTCATGTTGCTCACGCAGCTTCCTGGCCTTTTCTCCTTTATGCACAACAATCGCACCACTCTCCAGAAGCTTTTTCCATTCCTTCTCCTTTGCCTTAGTTAATCCCGGTTGTCTCGCTGGTGGAACAGAACTCATCGCAATCTCCTTTCGCCCTTTTGTCCTTTCCACTCCTTTCCACCTGAAAACACTCACGGTCCTGAACGCAAACCTCCAACTCCTCATCAGATTCCACAGGCACCGGAATATCCTCGGCTCGAGGAACATTTAACTCCGCAGCTCCAGCACTTCCAGATGACCCTCCAAGCCCATCAAGCCTCGAAAGATCCCGACGCATTGCAAGAGTCAAGGGAGAAAGCTCGGCTTCTCCATCTTGTGTCCGAGCCTTCTTTGAGGGAGACTCATCGCCGGTCTCGCCTCTATCTTGTGCCCTATCACTTGCAACAGGACCCTGAGTACTGCCCTCCACAGGCTCTGTACCATCGTCCATCGCTTCTTCAGGAATCACCGGCGCCAACATGTTGTCTCTCCTCTCTTGACCAGGCTCCGGTGCTGAGGCTGCCTCCTGCTCAGGTTCAACTTCAGGTGGAGGCCTCTCCTGATCACTTATATCATGAAACGTCCCAGCACCACGCGCACTCACCTCTCCACGCACATGCACAACATCTGCCGGAAGCAAACGAATCATCGCCTCTTGGTCTGGCGTTAGGTGCCGCAACTGTTCCGGACAACATCTGTATACCTTAGTTCCCTGCGCGACCCAAACCTTTGAAGCTCCTTGAACCCCAATCACAACAGCTTCACCATGCCAATGACACTTGTTCTCAAACCGATGCTTCCTCCAGAAATATGCCATCATTCCAGGCTTGAATGGCCCACGCTCAGGCCGTGTCCTATGTTCCAGTGCAGTCCTCAGCCGATTGTCACTGTCAGCTTCCAGAAATGCTCTCCGGGCCGCATTCCGAAAAGCCATCCTTCGCTCGAACACCGACTCTCCTTGTACCACTCCTGAGTTTATCACAGGATCATAGTCAGTGGTCACAAGCCCAGGAACACGCAACTCACGCCCAAACACATGCTGACATGGTGAGTACCCATCCTTCCGCGACATCGTGTTCACTGCAACATTCACATTGTCCACCAACTCCTGCACTTCCTGCTTACTCCTTGGAGGGGTATCCAGAGCAGCCTTCCTAAACGCAACCTTCCAAACACCGCCTTTGCGCTCAGTCAAACCATTCTGCCAAGGTGCATACGCCGCTGCTTTGTCACCAAACGTTCCATCAAGCGACAATCCATGCTCAAACTCAGCTTCGAACTCAGGTCCTCCGTCCGTAAACGCCCTAATTCGCGCTCCAGCCCATCTCTTCCAGGCCTTCCGGTAGGCATTCCTGACATGTCGAGCTTGCTTGCCTTTCCACAACGGAACACACAACTGATAGCCTGTGCCCTCATCACACATGTTCAAGAAATGCAACTTCGACCGGCGCACCTCCAACTCAAAAGTATCAAGACACACCTGCTGGTTGAACTCCGTAGCCCTCCTGATCTTGGTCACATGATGACTCCTCGGCTGAGTCACCGCATTGCATGTTTCACATGACAATCCTCGGGCCAACTTCGGCACACGCTCACTTGCATGCGCGGCCTTCAACAACATGCCCATGCGACCCGGTGATGGATGACCAAGATTCTCATGGCACTTCCGCAGAAGCACCATCACTTGACGATCGGTCAAACCATCTCCCGTTCGCAAGTCCTCAACCGCCAACACACATGTCGAAGTCATCACCATGTCACGCGCACGCTTCCAATCCAACACACTGGCAACACACACGTTTGCTGCAGCCCTTAGTCCAACATGCAAGTCCTGATTCTCGGCATCACTCTGCTTCATTCTCTCCTTAACATGTTGACAATTGCTAATCCATCTCGACGGCACACCAGGACACTGCACACAGATCACTCCTTCTCGACGCAGCAAGGTAGCATGCTTCTTCGTCTCGCTTCCTGTTTCTATCATGAACATGCGACCGCTACTCTCTTGACACACAGCCAGCTGATTCACGAATGACATGTAACTGTTCATGTACGCCCTCTCCGCTTCTCTCGTGCCCTCAAACATCTGACGAAGCTCACTGGGCATTTGCACAAACAACATGCGTGGCTGAATGACCTGCAACTGCTTCAGAACATGAACCTGCATCTGCTCACCGAAAAACCTTTGGTGCTTCTCAAATTTCCGGGAGAACTTCAAAACATGCCGGGCGGTGAGACCTACAGCTTCTGCGTTCGTTTCGGCTTGTCCCTCGAACAGTTCGAGAACATCACAATCACACCCAACATCAATACACACCTGGCCTAAGCTTTTAGTGGGACCCTTGCCGATTGCATCCAATCGTATTCTGCACAGCTGCCTCTCACCGCGTGACATGTGTCGCACCGGTAGGTCCGACCCCGATCGGCTCATATCATCCGATCCATGGACCTCGCTCACAGGTCCTCGTCGACAATCTCCAGCGCATCCAACTGGGCCTGGAGCACCTTCATCTGCCTCGCAATTTTCATGCGCAGCATGCGGTTCTCGAGCTTGTCCTCGTAGGTCATCTGGGGCTGCTCCTTTGTCGCATCCACTTTCTCCCAGTGTTCGGATCCATCGCTCGAAGCGCTCGAAGGCTTCTTCTTGGGGCCTGCTTTCATCATTTGGCGAGGGTCCTTGTACTCCGGGTTGAGTGCCTCGATCTTTGGCATCTGCATGTCGGTCTTCACTCTGTTCTCCTTGATCTGGTCGCGGCACGCAATGTACAAGCGACACTTCATCATCGTGGTTGTCGCCGCTTGCCCCTTGCTGTTCGGCTTTGTTGTCGTCACAAACTTTCTGACCCACTGAATGTAGCTCTTGTCATCCACATACAGCTCGGCAAACGTCTTGACCTGGCCCGCCTTGGCATACTTTCCCAGTGTCATGATCTCGGCACCGGCGATTGGCACGCCTGGCTCGTCTTCTTCTTGATCGTCGCGAGCATCCAGGATCTTGTACGGCACCTTCGGCTGTTCCTGACTCTGGAGCTCTGGCTTCAACGCCTCGGCAAGCTCCTTCATCAGAGGTGTGGCTGCCAAATCCTTCGCCATGGCACTCCCGCTGCCAGCTCTGTGATCTCCGCCGCCATCGCCATGTCCTCGTCGAACTGACTCTCCTGGCCCATAGCTTTCCTAAACTAGGATGTTCCGAAGGGTTTTCGCTTACACTGGTATCCGGTGCGGCTGCGCTCACGGACACAAGCACATCATCCTCGGCACGACCCGCTTGCACCTGCTTTTGGCTTTGTTGTCGAGGTCGGGCATAAAGTCCCAAAATGGGTATCCCGTAGTGACCCCGCTCAGTCTCCTTTAAGTTTATGCTAACCCCAAGCTTCCCCACATGAATAACATCATTCTCCATATCTAAGGTCGCCTTCATACCCCTAAGACATTCCTTAGATAAGAGAAGTGGTGTCTCAGCCCCATCACCAGGAAGCACTGCTGCCTTTAAAGCAACAATCTTTCCCCCTATACACGCAGGAATCACTACGGCCTTAGAGGTCTGTAGCTTCCCTGCATTGCCAAACTTGAACTCATGCCTCTCATCTAGATACCTGACACACAAACCCTTTTCCCTAAGGAGCCCCTCCATGTCCCTAAGAACCTTGGCCCCAATGAGAGTCCTACGGCACGCAGTGTCAGGCACAGCATGAGAAGCTAAGCTCGCAAAACACGACTCACCACTCACCTCGGCCATGTATGCATCGCTCGACTTGGCTGGTCCCGAGTCGTCTTCACAAAAACTCTGGAGAACTAGCCCTAGCTCTGTTGGCTCAAGATCCCCTAACACATCGGCAATAGCTTCAACACTGGTCTCTTCACGATCGGCGACAACGATGTCCACACCGCCGCCTTGTCCTTCAACCAAGAACAAGTCCAAGTTCTCAATCTGGTGCTCCGGAATGAACCAGCCATGGCCGCCATCATCCACACCAGCATCTGCGATCATCGCGTCCTTGGAAGACGAGCTCTTGGCATTGCTTTGAGCACGGTCTGGCCCATCACGGCGTTGGGGACATTCTTTCTTCCAGTGTCCAAACTTCTTGCAAATATGGCATTTCGTCTTCTGCTTCAACTGGTCCAAGCGTCCACGCACTGTCCCAGTCAGGTTCCACGTTGCAGCTTGAGGCCTAAAGCCTCTTCCGGTCTTCTTCTGCTGAACTTTCCTCCGGATATCCTGGTAAGTCTCCAGAACATCAAGCGCATCCTCCTCGTCGTACTGCTCTTGATTATGGATCTGATCCGCCACAATCTGAAAAACCTCCAGCTCTTCAGACTCCAGCCCTGTTGCCGCTTCGTACACTTCATCATCCTCTTCAGCAGCATACACGTCCTTCATCCGGTTGGCAACTGAAGTGCACTTGCCTTGCGGAAACACAGACTTTACTGCTTTATTGATGTCGTCGTACTTGAGGCTTCCGTGGCTGTGTGTAAGGATCATGGCTTCCGCATTCTTATCCAAAGCCAGCTTGCGCAACAAGAACCATCCTTTGACCTCCTCCGGGAGCGTCACCTTGACTTCCTGCAGATTCCTGTAAGCTGCGTCGACTCGAATCGTAAGGTTCCGAAACGACTCACCTGCTTTGATCTGCGTCTTGAAGAAATACTCGCTCAGGTACTTCTGCATGGAGTCCTGTTCCAGGTCTGCATACTTGCTGTCCAAACTTTCGAAAACCAGCTTATAGCCACCTTCGCCAGTCAGCTTGTCCAGTGGTATACACCCGCAAACCTCTTCAGCTTCTCCCTGCAGAAACTCACATAGCTTGGCACCCCACTTCTCCTTGGCTATTGTAGAAGGAAGAGCCATCAACATGAGCTCGGCTTTGCGCCGCCACCTTTTGTAGCCAGCTGGGTCCGACCCATCGAACCTATCCAGCTTTGGCCTCTCATCATCACGGGTTCCCGCACTCGAACTCATTCCACGCAGAGTGAACAACCCCCACCTCCGGCGAATCACCTAGGTGACTCAGCCTCCAGTGCTCCGCTACCACCTGTGATCTCTGGGAAACACAGGTGGCTTCAGGCGCTCAGCTCTTTTGTTCCATGGCTCGAAGCACGTCACCGTAACGTAAGGGGACCTTTGGTCCGAAAAGCCACAGCATGATCTTTCTCTGCAAGCGCTCGCAGAACGACATGTTTGGAGCTTGGGTGTGTATCTGACTTTCACATCTTGCACATACACGTAACACGTAGCACACTGCAGACAGCACCTAGAACATGGCATATGCCACATAGCACACAGCAAGTGGCACATGACATAGCGCGAAGCAAATAGACATAACACCTACACCTACGCATACACACATACACACATACACACATACACACAGACACACATACACACATACACACACACACACACATACACACACATACACACACATACACACACATACACACATACATATACACATCAACGTACACATACACATACGCATACACGTACACGTACACATACACGTACACGTACACGCACACGTACACATACACACACGTATACACATACACATACAGATACACATTCACATACACATACACATACACACACGCATAAATATGCGTGTATATATATATATATGTATATATATATATATATATATATGCAAAATTACAGACACAAGCGCACAAACGGACGGGGAAATGACAGTGTGCACGCGATGACAGTGTGCACGCGTCCTATTCAGAAAGCCTATTCACCACACCTGCTTCGACGGCGCCGTGGGCGAGATCAGCGCGTCGAGACAAAGCGGTGGTGGCCGCAAAGGCCCTCCGTCCAAAGGCTTGTGTTGTTAAGCTTAAGTGTTGGGTCCCAGGGTTCTTAGCCACGCCAGGCCAGCCGGGAAAAGCAGCTTGTTCCATTCATTACCTAGGCTAAACTCTCACAGGCTCCTGGTGTTTGGGCCTTAGGTGCAGTGGCAATTGCCGCGCCCACCCCAGTGCCTGCACTCATCGGCGATCGGACTTGCTTTGAGCCTGCCTGGGCCACCTTGCGATCAGAACTGCAACAGTCGAATCAGATGGCGTTGGATGGAAGCTACAGAAGAAGAAGATCAGGTTCATCAAGCGTGTAGTGGAAAGGACTTTGTGTAGGATAGAAACCTCTGGGTAGACTAGATCTGGAGGTTGAAGCAGCGGCAAAAAAAATGGAGCCAGGTGGGAGCGTACCCTGCAAGTGCCCCTCGTGCTGAAAGTCTGTGATCCCACCAAGAAATCAAACCGATGCTCGAAGTCCCGACGCGCGGAAGCGCGAAGCGCCTCCCCAATCCTAGAAGCCTAAGCCTGGACTCAAATCGATGTACCTCAATAATCAGAAAAGGGTGCTGCGGGGATGCTTCCTGGAAGGAACCCGAAGGAAGTGTGTTCAGGAGCAGAACTGCTAGCACTTGAACCCTAAAACCTAAAACCCGCGACCCTAAACCCCAAACCCTTCACCCTTAACCCCAAACCCTAAACCCTACACCCCTCGACCCTAAACCGAAAACCCCTGAACCCCCCTAAACCCTAAAAGCCCAAAACCTAAACCCAAGACCCAAAACCAATGCAACCGGGCCGGAACCCAAAGAGCCCAATACCCCTTAATTACGGAATATAGCTTAAATAATACTATGAAGCCCTATATAATTTAAGCCATATAATATGAAGCCCTATATAATTTAAGCCATATTCCTTAATTAAGGGGTATTGGGCTCTCTGGGAACCTGGTGCAGAGCTCTGGGGGGCCGCAAGGCGGAGCTCACCAGGCGCCCTGGGACTGAGAGTCGGCTCTAGGGGGTGGTAGGGTTTAGGATTTAGGGTTTAGGGTTTAGGGTTTAGGGTGGTAGGGTTTAGGATTTAGGGTGGTAGGGTTTAGGGTTTAGGATTTAGGGTTTAGGGTGGTAGGGTTTAGGGTTTAGGATTTAAGGTTTAGGGTTTAGGGCTTAGGGATGAAGTCCGGTGAGGTAATCCCGAAATAAGAGTCCTGATATGAGGGATCCTTGATCCTACCGAATAAGAGTACAAGGGATCCTGAATCCTACCTTATGGGAGTATAAGGGGTCCTTTATCCTACCCTGACAAAAGTACAAGGGATCCTTAGTCCTACCTAACAAGAGTATCAGGGATCCTTAAGCCTCAATCCTACCTTCATCCCACCTTCTGAGGCCTCCAAAAGTCGGGAGGCTGGCTTTCAGGTTTTGCGGCTTCTGGCTTCGAGTTTAAGCATTTCAGGGTTTAGGGTTTCAGTGTTGAGGGCTTAAAGGTTGAGGGTTTGGGGTTGAGGCTTAGGAATGGCCTGCATGCCATCGAGGATACATGCACATCAAACTTTGCGCCCGGGAAGAACACATTCGCTAAGGCAGTTTCTAGGCACAGGTAAGCAGCACAGCACCACAAAAGACGACCCCGCAAAGTTGAACAACCCACCAGTGCTATCTTCCACCTGTAGCACAGGCGATGAAACTCACTCTAGATTAAGCTTTCTGAAGGCTTTGGGGGCGAAAGGGCTGTTGAACGGCGGATATGTCATCGAGTTTGTGGTCAGTCGAATTGTGTGACCTGTAGAGATCCTATACAATTGCGTCGCCTCTTCAATCGTACGTCCCCCAACACCGAGTATCCCAAAAACCTAAGCCCTGAACCTTCGTAGAACTCCTATACAAAGCCAGTAGAACCAAGCCCGGCATCCGCACAACTTTCCAGAAATCCGTATATTCCCCGGCACCACCTCCCCACCTCCCCTCCCCCAAAAACTGCGAATCTCGGCGTCCGACGCTCTTGGTTTGCCCGGGGCTCTAAGCCTTGTGCTCCTTTGGGCTCTTGGACTTCTGATGGCCCTTTTAAGGTTCCGACTCTTATATTTAGGGTTTAGGGCAAGTTTAAGGCGTTCGGGGTTGTGGCTGAAGGATTGGGGGTTTGAGGATCAGGGCTCAGGTTTAGGGGTTTAGGGTTTTGCCGGCCGGGGCTTTAGAGTTTGGCGGACCTTCGAGTGTTCTGGCTTGGCAACGTGTTTCTGTCCGGTGGAAAAGATGCAAGGCCTCTTTATCCTTCTCTGGTATCCGCCGCTTATCTTACATGCCTTACCGCCTGATACAAAATAAAGGGAGCAGAGGAAAAACGAAGAACATGGTCAGAATGAGCGACGCTTTTCTCCCCCTCCGTGTCGGGTTGTTGTACTAAACACCCAATAGGGCTCAAAAACCTTCCACTAGGCAGTCCCAGAGCAGCGACAGCAGCGCCTGCTGCCCCTTCTCGCTTACTCTGTCGAGTTTCTGCTTTCTCTCTCTCTCTCTCTCTCTCTCTCTCTCTCTCTCTCTCTCTCTCTGTCTCTCGCACTCTCCCCTTGCGGAATCTTCTAGAAAGAATGTCAACGCAAGAGAAGAAGAGCAAGTGCAACATCACAAGCTCCGACATGTTCCTTCGAATCGCGAGTCATCACGGTATTTCCGTCCCCACCTTGCCTTCTCTCCATCGAAGCCCTGAACCCTAAACCTCCGCCGAAACCCTGAATCCCTGACCCGTGAACCCCCGGACCCCAACCCCGCAGTAGTGTCGATTTCAACAGTCCCCAAAATCGTTGATGATTAGGTCTCTACTTTAAACAATAAGGGAAATCAAAACTTATCCCAAATCGATACCGATACCTAAACCACACTCCAAACCCGTCCCGACCTTGCACATCTTCTGGGCTCTTGAGCTGTCGCCGCTCGGCTGCAGCCTGGAGAGAGAAGGCTTGAGTCTTTGAGTTTCGGGTACAAGAAGGGTTTAGGTTTGGCAGTTTATAGACTTATAGACAGAGTTTAGGGTTTAGATGTTGATGTTAGGGTTTAGGTTTTAGGGCTTAAGTTTCAGGGTTTTTTTTAAAGCTGAACTGCACCCTTTCTCCGAAAGTAGCGCTGGCATTTTGAGGGAAGTTTCAGGGTTTAGTGTCTAGGGCTTGGGGTTAGCGTTAGGGTTTGGGATTGGGGTTTAGGGGCTAGGGCTTGGGGTTTAGGGTGGCTTTTGGGCGCGAGCATAGGGGCTTTATAAGGGCTTGCGGCTTGTATATCAAAAGAGCACACTTTTGCGGGTGTCTAAATGTACAGTTGTTGGACTTGTAGATGCATTAGGAAGACACCGGGATGTAGAGTCGGGAAGCGGATGATTTCAGTGGTTGACAGGCAAGTCCCGGCCAGAAACCCTGTCAGAAATCGATCTGAAAACAAGGCGAGCCCGAAACTGCGAACATGTCCGCACATGTTTGAACCGTGGGGGCTCTCTTATCCCAACCTCCAAAGAACTACAAACAGGGATCTGCAGCTAGCCGCGGTACAAGTGCCCCTGAAGATCCGGGCTCTCAAACTGATGCTACAAACTGGCCAGTCATCCCTAAACCCTAAACCCCAAGCGCCTTCAACGACCTAAAACTGATCCCCAACTGTCCCCTTCACCCTAAACCCCAAACCCTAAACCGAGTCCCCTTCCGAATTTAGAGCACAGGGTCCTAAACTCTGAACGCCGTAGCACCCCGCAAAGTAACTTTTCCGGAAATCCTAGTAGTAACCCTTCTAGAACGCACCAGAGCGACCCACAGCCAATTATAGTAAACCTTATAGTAGCCCTTCAAAGGACTCTAAACCCCTACTACTATCGGGATCTTAATCACGAGATTAGATATACCCTAAGCTACCAAACCCTACTTTTTTGTAGGTTCTTATTATAAATCCTAATACGGAAACTACAAGGACCCTACAAAAAAGTCGGTTTTGGTAGTTTAAGGTACATATATATGTTTTTCTATTTGTATAAATATATGTGGGAACTCCGAGGGAATACCATTCCAGCCTCGGTGGAGCTGGGAGACGACACAGTCACCTGCCCAGCCCGACAGCTTCTCAAACTGGGTTTTTGCGGTTTTCGGGTCGTTTCGGGTTTCGGGTTTCGGGTTTAGGGTTTAGGGTTTAGGGTTTAAGGTTCAGGGTTCAGGGTTTAGGGTTCAGGGTTCAGGGTTCAGGGTTTAGGGTTTAGGGTTTAGGGTTCAGGGTTTGCGGGTGTTTGTTGGGGTTTCGGGTTTCGGGGTGGAGGTTCGGGTTTAGGGTGTGAGGTCTGGCTTCAGTTACGCGACCCTCTTGGGCGGCGGCAGAAGCAACCATGATGACGACGGCGATGCATTGCTCAGTCTTACTGACGGATGACTAATCAGCCACAACACCACAAAACGCGAAACCTTAAACCCAGAAGTCTAAACAACGAACCCTGAGCACCGGATGATGATGAAACGGTAATGTCTCGGGATTCTCTAACCCCTTGGCCAAGGCCGCTGATGCCTCTTCCACACCGAGGCGGTCGGCCAAGATGGGCGCTTCCTGCGCCAAAGGCCTGAAAGCTCTGGGTTGAGGCTGGGCTTCTGGGCTTAAGGGCCTGAATAGTCAGAATAGGGCTTTGGGGCCCGTTAAAATAGAGTAAGAATAAGGAACCCCCACAATATTATAGGTAATTATGAAGGCCCCTATAGTATGATGGATGTAGGGTTTAGGGTGTGGGATTTCTGGTGAAGTCCAGGCATCCGAATTGCAAGGTTTGCAGCAACCCTTCGGTTGCCATGAGGGCTGCCGCAAGGATTACCATGTGGGTAGCGAGTTTAGGGTTTAGGGTTCAGGGTTTAGGGTTTAGGGTTGTGAATACTACGAGTACTGTTAGGCTCAGTGCGTCAAGTATCGTATGACTTGGGCTCTGGACTTCGGGCAAAAAATCTCACGTGGGAGACCTCTCATGAACTGACTGCACTCTACGCCCGAGCCTTCAGACGGCCTGAGAGAAGAATCGACGACATGCCCAAGGCGCCTAGAAATTTAAAAAAGCCCTCACGAGAGAAGCCCTAAACCGAAAACCCGTAACCCTCAGATGCCTAAACTCTGAGCCCTAACCCGAAACTCGGACGAGTTGCACTTTGCCGCCCTTCCTGCGGCAAGAGCCGCTCCCTGCAAACAGCAGAGCAGAGGGTGTGCAAACAGTTAGAGGAGTTTACCGGGATACTGTGACTAGTTCCTCCGCGTTTTGACAAGGCATCCTCCTTCACAAAGGCCGCACCTTGATGCGCCCGAATTTCGTTCCCATCCACCCCGAAACATAACCTGAACTCCCAAAACAAAGTCAGCCTGCCTGCAGACACCCGACAAGCGAATGTCGATGAAGCCTTGAACCCGATGAGTTCAACCTCTCGAAGCCAAACACATCCCAACACGCGTGAACCCTGGCACCCACAACTATCGAACCCTAGGAGACTCTTACGTGCTGAAACCCCGTTTAAGCCTTTAAGCTTTAGGGGTTACGAGAAACTCCTACGCCCAAACCCTTGAGCTTGCTCAAAGTTTGGTAGACCCCCCCCCCCCGGCATCGGCGCAGGATCGTCCCGGAGAAACGGACCTAAGCGTTCGGAGGCTATCGGCTTCCCCGACTTCGGCTCCGAGCTGGGGCTGCGGCTTTGGGTTTTAAGGTTTAGCATTCAGGGTTTTAGGGTAGCATAGGGTAGTTTAGGGTGTTGGGTTCTGGCTTTAGAGTTTGGGGTTTAGGGTGTAGGGGGGTTAATCAAGGCAAGCACAACAGCACGAATACGTGTAACAACGAGAACACTCTCACAACTATTGGGTACTCACACGTTTGCACGGACGGAGAAGCATCATCATCGTCATCCTTGGCATCACCATCTTATTTTTCTGATTCGTCGTACATACTTACATGCACACATAACTGCCTGCCGTCATGCATGCATGCGCACATAGGTACACACGTACATACATACCTACCTACCTACATACATACATACATACACATATACATATACATATACACATACACATAAACCTACCACCTGCACGTACACGTGCACGTACAGGTACATGTACGCGTACATGTACACGTACACATACACATACACGTACTTCTTCCGGACGCAGCAAGAGAGTTTGCCTAGCGAGTCAGACACATACACATACACACACATACATACATACATACATACATACATACATACATACATACATACATACATACATACATGGACAGGCACAGACACAAACAGACGCACACACACACACAGACAGACAGACAGACAGACAGACAGACAGACAGACAGACAGACAGACAGACAGACAGACAGACAGACAGACAGACACACAGACACACAGAACAGACAGACAGACAGACACAGGCACACATACATACGCACACGAACATAAGCCTCGGAGAAGACAATGCAAAATTATGCCCACAGCCTGGGGCTGCGACGGCCCATGGACGCATTGAAGGGCCGACAGCGGAACATCTCCGAACCCAAAGCGGCAGTCGAAAATTGTTGCATGCAGGGGACTAATGGGGCAGTGGATTGCACAGATCGGCGAGATAGGGCAGAGGTGAGGCAATGCAGCTTCAATGTTAGTGCGGCAACTGATCAGCCAAGCACTATGCTAGAGAGCTAATCGGAAGACGGAGGCACACCACAGATGGGTTGCTCCCGCCCTCTATTCTAACGTGTCTAGGGTGAAACATTAGAACTGATCCTTGTTGCCGCGCTGGGCTACGGTCAGGCCACACGTCTTCCTTAGCACGGCTTACTGATGCTCTTAGAAGTAAGTTAGGACAGCGGAAACCGAGCAAAACTATCCTCTCAGATTTCAATCCGTTTCTCATAACAGGCAGCAACAGAAGCAGAAGCAGCAGCCGTAGCGGCAACCAAGCAGCCAACCAACCACAAGCTCGTCGACTTTGTGATGCTTCTCGGTGTAACCATTGGGGTGTAGCGTTTAGGGACGAAGTACGGCCATGGCTGCCATTGGTGTGCAGATTCCTTCCTGACGAATCTCACTTCGGTCTCCCCCCTTAAGGCGTTCAAGGATTGCTAGAATTGGGGCTCAAACTTATGATTCTAATAGAGTCTTAGGGTCCTCAATGGTGGGGAAATTAGGGTATAATAGAAGGGTTCAAACCTTAGAATCCCTAAACCCTAAACCCTATTAGAAGTTGAGACCTCGTAGAGTTGCAAAGTTGCAAAGACTGAAATCGACTCTGGGGCTCCGAACCCCGGGACTCTAATATGCCTGAAGTAAGGAATACCTAGGGTTCCTTGAAGGGATCCTATAAGGGGTACTGCCTACTGTCCCATACTGTAAGAGTCTATAATAGGGCTACTATTAAGGTCCTTATATCTCTATATGATGAATATTTATCATCCAAATCCAAAGGGAAAAGGGTTCAGGGGCTCAGAATAAGCAGACCGTGCCGTCTGGACAGAGCGCCTCCCGTGACGCGCGTAATATAGGGGCCTTAAGAATAAGACTAGGGCTTTGAGGCCCAGTATACTATAATTATGACAAGGAATCCCCAAAACAGTATTGGTATAGCAACAGCATCCAAAAAAAACTCCAAAGCAAAGCTTGACAATACGTCTTACCGGAAGATTCGGAGATCGTGAACATCCGTGACCACCTAATAAAGGTGCCGATAATCAGAATAGGGTTTGGGGTGTATTTTATGCTTAATTACAATAAGGAGCCCCCAAAACCCTATTCTAATTATCAAGGCCCCTACATTAGCACAGGTGCAGCAAGGCGGCGAGGTGGACTTTCTTCTGAAGTTTGCGTCCATCCTCAGCAGTTGCAAGATGACGGGCCCGAGTCTCATTGACCAGCCAGGGTTTAGGGTTTAGGGTGTTGGGGTTTTTGGGTTCAGGGTTTTTGGGTTTAAAGTTTAGGGCTTTTGACTGTGGAGTATGGCAGGTTGACATGTTCCTAGGCTGGTTGAGAACCGAGATGGCTACTGCATTAGCTCAGATATGGCAGAGGTGGTGACACGCAGGAACTAGAGCTACAATGCCAGCAATGGCAGTAGCAACAACAAGTTTCATTGAAAAAAGGCAAGCGCTCTCACCGACACCTGAGCCTTCATAATTTGATGAATGATATCAGACCTGCCATAGCACCCTTGGCGTTGCATCCATCATCTAAACCCTATGAACCCGAAACCCTAAACCCTAATCACTGCCGGAGCAGGTCCCAGGGGCGTCTTCTTGACGATGACCGGGATGCGTGTGTTCGGCGGCATGCCGCAGTGCCTTGGATCTCACGATCCACGAGCGGCTCTTTGCCCAGATCGCAAGGCACTTGGGATCACTTGGGCATGGCTCTGCAGACGAGGTTCTTAAACACCCACAGCCTTCTGTTGTCCGCCGACACGACACCTTCACCTTGGCAGAAGCTCTGCGTTCCTTACAGTGCTATCACGATATTTGCCAACCGAACCTTCTTCCACTCGGCACCCTTCCCTCCAGCCTTGTCTGATCACCGAGATCGCGGGGATATCGGTGAGCTTGATAGAACCTCCAAAAAAAACGTAGGATTGCGGCTTCGGGTTCAGATTTCGAGGTTCAGCCTCCAGGTCTAGGGTCTTGTTGTTTGAGGGCCCCTGAAAGCCTGAAAAGACTTTAAAAAAATGAAAGGACCATCATCTAGGCTTCTGAAGATTCTGCAGTCTATACTGCAACATCCGCACATGCCGTGAATGTCTGCATTATTTGAGCTGGCTCTGCGATTGCAACCGTATTTGACACAGCACTTAAACTTGTACTTATGCTTACCCTTCGTTCCTGTTAGGTTCACAGATCTAAATCGTAAACTGGCCTAAACTACTCTGACCTGTTTGGATGTTCATTGACGGCAAGCACAAGCACGCTCCACGGAGGAGACGGTTAATCAAGTCGGGCGTAACATGTAAGTGAATATATATATATATATATATATATATATATATATTATATTATATTATATTATATTATATTATATTATATTATATTGTATTATATATATATATATATATTATATATATTATATATATTATACATATATATATATATATAAATATGTACATATATATATATGTCGACATGTACTTACGTATATGCATATGCATATGTAATATGTACAGGTAGGTTGAAAGTTACTTGCATGTATGCATGTATGTACGTACATGTGTATGCGTGCATGCACGCAGGCTTGTAGATACATACGTAGAACCATGTACACACATATACATATACATATGTCTATGCGAATATTGCGTAATTGTGTGTAATTGCACCTATACATGTGTTACATCTACAGAGATACAGATATAGATATACAGAGAAAGAGAGAAAGAGATAGAAATGGAGATATAGATAGAGGTATAGATATTTATGTAGATACGGATAGAGATACAGACGGAAGTCTAGATATATATATATATATATATATATATATATATATGTGTGTGTGTGTGTTTATATGAAGGCATACATATGTAGACATGTATGCATATATATACACATATAGGCATTCGAAAATGTGTATAGACATGTATAGGTATGCCATAGGTGTAAAGACACTTGGGTATAAACTCTATATATTTATATACATAGGCACTGAGATGTACCGACCTATAGACATGTAGACACAAAAAGATATAGGCATACAGCTGATCGATAGCTCGACACATGAATATAATGTAGACGTATAGATATTAGATAGGCAAGTATACAGACGAATGACTTTGCGTGGAAGTCCTGCACAACCAACGACGCTCATACCCCGAGACCTCAGCCGTCCCCAGCCCCCACAGCGCAAGACCGACAGGCACGCAAGTCAGGGACGTTCGTTTCACTGCCACAAAGACTTTTTTGTTGACGCCCACTAATGTTCAGATCACATAGGGTTATTGGCCTTTCATGATCCTGTTTTCGTTTGAGAATAGGTGTCGGGAAATCCTGAAAACAGCTCGGACTGCTGCCTGTAAGCCCTGAATCCGGGCCTTCAGAGAGACCTTTGCGCGTCTCCTTCAGTTGCCGTTTTCGGTCACCGAAGAGGCCCATGATGGAGTCCTTCCAAATGGTGAGTAGTAGGTGTATTTTCCCCTAGTAGGTAGTAACAGGTAGTAGGTAATTAGTAAGTGAGTACGTAGTATGTAGGTAGGTAGGAGGTTGGCGGAAGGAGTAGAAGCATTAGTGGTAGCAGTAGTAGTAGTAGTAGTAGTAGTAGTAGTAGTAGTAGTAGTAGTAGTAGAGTAATAGGAGTAGTAGGAGTATAGGAGTAGGAGGAGTAGTAGGAGTAGCGCAGTGGGAGTAGTGGGAGTAGTACTATTTGTTGTTGTTGTCGTCGTTGTTGTTGCTGTCGTTGGGTGTCGTTTTCGTCGCCGTCGTATCAGCGGCCGCGGTAGCATTAGCACTAGCATAGCAGCAGTGGCAACGGCGGTGCAATATCAGCTGCAGTGGTGGAGATTTGCTGATGACCGTAAAGAAGAAGCGTATATTCATGTTACTGGGAGACATTGCACCACGTGATCAGGTCGTGCCACCAGCATGGCGTCGCCCGCGAGCCTGGCTGTAGAGCAGGGACTTGAGAAGGACCTCCTTCTGATCTCCCTCCTGCCAGGTGGAGCCAGGCTTTCAGCCCTAGACCACACTCTTGAACCGGGAACTGAACCCTTTTCTCGACACACTGCATAGATGCGACATGTTGAAGGAGCTTGTACCAACCTTCGCACTTTCCACGGCACGTAGCCGGCGCAGCTCAGCTGCTGCGATCGCTCCGTCGCGCCGTGCCTGAGATGAGGGTTTCGGAATTATGTGCAAGCAACTCGCCAGGTCCAAACTGCAACTAAAGCTTAACTCCGAACCCATAGCTGCTTGGCGAGCGACAGGGGTCAAGATCACCGATCGCGCGCCGCGTCGCCCGACTGGAAACGAAAAATTGGAAAGTTCGGAAAAAAACTACAGGCTGCCCTTCTGTGAAGAGGGATGCTCAACCTGGGGGAGAGAAACTTGCCTTTTTCTTAAAAAGGCTTAAGGTTTAGGATTTAGGGTCTTAATAATGAGAATAGGGTTTTGGGGCCCATTATACTATAATTAGATTAAGGAACCCCCAGAATAGATTAGGTAATTATTACGGCCCCTATAGTAGGGTCCCAATGTACGGGGCAGGAAGTTTCCCTGGGACCCCGCCCTGCTCCGCCTGGCCCTGCCGGCATCTGCACCTGCTCCTGGCGTTTCGGAATCTATAAAGGGTTTAGGGTTTTGGGTTTTGGGTAAGGAGTCTGTACAGCCTGCGGACGCTTATGTAGGGCTTTGTAGGGTTCGAGAAGGTTTTTTAAGTGATTTCAAGGGTTCGATGTTAGCTGAAAGTGTTGCTTAGGGTTTTGGTTTACTTCCCATTGCGGCCAGGATGTTGGGTTCGAAAGCAGTGCACTAGGGGTCATGAGTTACCAACTTCCAAATAGAGCACTGTGAGTGTGAATGTGATTGCCGTGGTTGCCTGCTGCTGAACGGTGCGATTAACACTGCTTCTGCTGATGCGGCTGCTCCAAGTACCTGTACTCCTGCCACCACCTACGATTGTGGCAACTATTGTAATTGAGGACATAGGCATAACCGTAATGGCAACAATAAGTTGTTAGGATAACCATCATTGCCGGCAGCACTGCGCAGCCCCAGTGAATGTACCCCACAGACCACAAAACAACGAGTCGAGGTGATGGGTCCTTCATGCTTCCCCCCCCCTCCCTCCCCCAAGACCAGCACGGCCCCTCAGCCTAACAGCTCCAGGGTTCCTCCTTCACGTAGACGGCTTCCTCGGCTTCGCTTTCCGAGGACCTCGGCTCTCGAGAGGCAGGAGCAGGGCTTGTCCCGCATCTTAGAAGCGTGCAGCAGACCCCTAGGGGACCCTCCGATTTGCCGCCGGCTCCTGCGGCACACCCTGCTTGTCTACTGCCGAGGAGCTCTTCATCATCCACCGGCGCATCACCTCCACAAGACGTTCAGAACTTGGCGTTCCGTTCGGTGTCACCATCACCATCACCGTCATCATCATCATCATTATCAGTATCAGTATCATCATTATCATCTTCGTCGTCTTCATCATAATCACCATCATCAGTAGCACCGTCTCAGTTTGATAACAACCAAGGCTTTCATGGCACATGGTGGCAAAAACAATGGAGGCAATGTTACTGCTACTGACGACAGCGGCGGTGATGATGACGATGGTGATGATGATGATGATGATGACGATGAAGATGATGATGGTGATGATGATGGGGCTTAGTAACTTAGTAGCAATGAGGACGGCGGGGGGAAAGTCAAGTTGATGATACTGATCTGATGATGTTGATGATGATGATGATGGTGATTATGATGGTGATGGTGATGGTCATGATGGTGATGATGATGACGGTGCTGTGGAGGCGGCGGAGGAGGAGGAGGAGGTCTAGTAAAGGAACGGGGAGGAAGAGGAGGAGAAAGATACTGATGATGATGATGATGATGATGCTACCGCTGGTGGCGACGCTTCTGCTGATAGTGAGATTGGGTGGCGATGCCGACCATGACAATCACTCTGCAGATGACGAAGCAGAACAGCCTAGACAGAACGTTGACCACGATGTTGGTGGTGTTTCTGGTGATGGTGTTGTTGTTGTTGATGATGATGATGATGCTGATGATATTACTGTTGCTTTTACAGTTACATATTGCCTAGTGTATCGGAGATGGTGCCGATGGCGAGGATGACGATTGGCTAATCATGACCACGGCCATGTCTTTGAGTCGGGAAAAGCTCAGGGTGGCAACAGCCCTGAAGATGAGGAAAATGACATCAACGATACTACGAGAAATACTTCAATTGCACGACTGTGGTGTTGCTTAGGCTGACTTCGAATGTACTTCGACAGTTGGGAAGCTGCATCTCTGATACATTCTCCGGCGACCGGATCCCAAACCCTCCCGAGCGCACGGCCATGCGACCCTCCACGTGAATCGTAAGTTTCCGTCAAAACCCGCACACTGAAGCTAAAGCCCGACGAACCCTGAAACCCCAACATTCACATAAGCCCTAAGCCCTGCTAAACCAAACCCTGCGTAACCCAGACCTCGGGTTTCAGGCTTGTTGCACCCCTGATCTCGTCGTCGCCGTGACCCTTGTAAGCCCTCTTATAGCGACACCTTAACCCTCAACCCTAAACCCTAGACCCTTATACTAACCCCTTATTGTACCCCTTGTGGTATTCGGCCAAGGGCACCTCCTGACGCAGCCGGTGGATCGGCGGCCGCAGGCTTCGGCTCCTCCTGCGGCAGGTTTCTAAACAGACTCTGTACATGGTATACATTTCACATTTCACATTTCGTACATAAAGAGAGAGAGAGAGAGAGAGAGAGAGAGAGAGAGAGAGAGAGAGAGAGAGAGAGAGAGAGAGAGAGAGAGAGAGAGAGAGAGAGAGAGAGAGAGAGAGAGGAGAGAGAGAGAGAGAGAGAGAGAGAGAGAGAGAGAGAGAGAGAGAGAGAGAGAGAGAGCGGAGAGAGAGAGAGAGACACAGAGAGAGTCACAGAGAGAGACACAAGGAGAGACACAAGGAGAGACACAAGGAGAGACACAAGGAGAGAGACACAAGGAGAGAGACACAAAGAGAGACACAGAGAGACACAGAGAGACACAGAGAGAGGATGAGAGAGGATGAGAGAGGATGAGAGAGACAGAGAGACACAGAGAGACACAGAGAGACACAGAGAGAGACACAAAGAGAGAAACAAGGAGAGACACAAGGAGAGACACAAGGAGAGAGACACAAAGAGAGACACAGAGAGACACAGAGAGAGGATGAGAGAGGATGAGAGAGGATGAGAGAGAGACAGAGAGGGACAGTGAGGGTCAGCGAGCGACAGCGAGGGTCAGCGAGCGACAGCGAGGGACAGCGAGGGACGGCGAGGAGTCCGAGGGACAGCTGGGGACAGCGAGGGACAGCGAGGGACAGACAGAGACAGACAGAGAGAGACAGTGAGGGAAGGGACAGCGAGCCACAGCGAGGGACAGGGAGGGAGGAGGAGGGAGGGAGGGAGGAGGCAGGAGTTTCAATTCGTTTCTGCAGGCTTTGCTTCGGGCTTCAAAGGGGCTTAAAAAAGCAGGAAAACCGGTAGTTCCGGGAGTTCCGCGTTTCTGGCTGAAGCCGTTCGGGACCCTTGACCCTACATAGCCGAATCCCTAGTATAAGCCCCGTACATAGCAGGGTCCGTATGAAAAGGACCCCCAGGTCCTCAGGAGCGTCTTTGGAACTCGAGCTCGCGCTGGCCTCACACACGCTTCACCACCGGAGACGGGGGCTGGACGAAGGTTTCGCTTCGGTCTCCGGGTTGAAGGGTTCAGGGCTGGGGTTACAAAGTCAGGAAAAAACCTAGGGGTTCAGTTCAGTCGCGGGCATTCGAACAAGTTATGCTCGAGGTCTTCTTTTACGTAGAAAGATTGGGGCAGGCTACGGACGACACCCCGGATCAGCCCTTCAAGTTTGGGACTTCAACTGAACAACTGGCATCCATACCTCCCAACTTTTCCCCTAAGCCGCAGCCTGCGCGGCAGCCGCCGTGGCATTCCTTCGATGGCTTCAGCGCTGGGGCAATCCGATGCTGTGCAACAAGGCTGTAGGAGGGCCCATCAACGAGGCAGCAACATATTCTACGCCAGACCCCCGAAGCACGGAGCTTAAAGGGTGTCTTATGACACAAAGTAACATAATGTAGCACGTAATGGTTCCTTCAGCCAAGAGAATCCTGAAATTCCCTGCGACCCATCTCTTTCGGATGACTTCCAAATTTTTTCAGGACCGTTACGAACCGTGAGGCTGACGGGTGAGAAATGAAGAACTCAAATCGTGCCCCTGCCCACCCCATCGAGGTGTGCATGTCATTGTGTCGTCCCGTCCGGCAGCACGGTCTAAGGTAAACCCCTCGTGTCCAAATATCGCTCGAGCATCGGCGTGCTGACTTCCTCAAGCCGACGCTTCTTGCGCTCACTTTCGGACACGTCGGCCTCCTGTTGGATTAGGGCTTCCGGCTGTAGCAGAGATCCGAGTTCTTGTAGGTGTGGAACCAATGAAATTATCAGCCGGAAGTACTTGGAGGTTCATGGGTAGTTATAAGTGGGGCTATAATTAGGGTAACTATGGTTATAACCCCTATTAACGGAGTTAAAACCCCATTTATAACTACCCATGAACCTCCAAGTAGCCTTAGATTGACCAACAGTAGCCAACCAGCTTCTCGATCTGACTTGACCATGATTGCAATGACGATGTCGACTTTCATGACCACAGCTTGCTGCTTCCATGGTCGCTGTTGGCAACCTTCTTTCTCAATCGTACTAAACATCTACCGTGAGCTATTTTCCAGCTTTAGCATGACTTTTCCTCACAATCTCACATGAGCGCCATTCTTGCTATCAGTCTTGCTGTAGGTTGATTCGCCTGTCTTGTCCTCACACGACCATGAACACTACACAGCGCAGCGGTGCTGTTGGTCACGGCGAGCTATGGCTGGGACGACGGCGACGGCAGCAACAACACATCAGCGGCACACATCAGCGGCGGAGGGTTGCAACAGCAAGAGGGGAGTCAAGTTCTCTAGCAGCTGCAGAGAAAACATATTGCCAACGACGACAACCAGACGATGATGACGGTGATGACACTGGTGATTATGATGATGGTGATGACGGCGACAACGATGATACAGGAGCTGATGGTGTTGTGCTGAAGATGCTCGTGATTTCCGTTGTGAGATAATAGTGACGAAGATGATGAACAGAACAGCAACAGCAGAATCGGAATCATCATCCTCGTTGCTACTCGTACCAATGGTGACGCAGCCAATGCTGCATATGCGCCTTTTCCATGCTTTAGCCCAAACTCCCAGAATCCTCTACCGGCTTCTCGCACTCATCCCCCGGCTCGTAGATGGCCGTGAAGACGGGCTTCGGAATCACCCAGTCCTCCGCAAAGTTGTTATTGTCCTTGTACTTTTGTTACTTTTACTGCTGCCAATATTGTACATTCTTGTGACGCACAAGTGAATAAGTGAATATGATTGAACGTGCTATGGGAAATTTGCGGTCTGGAAATTTGTCCTGCTTGAGAAGGTCCAGCAAATGTCCTCACAGAGATTGAAGTGCGTCGAATCCGCAATGGAACTAGAGCCGGATGACTGCTACTACTGCAACGACTGCGGTTGCTGCTTCCCCTTCTCCTGCCAGCGCAAGAAACCGCAGCGACGACTGACGACTAGTCGTCGGTACCCCTAAACCCTAAACCCTAAACCGCACTACTGCAACCAACACGACTGCTACTAGCCGTCATTCTGCTGCTAGGCTCCGTCCTTCTCGTTTGCCCACTTTGGTCCTCTTTCTTCCAATGCTTGTTCGCGAGGTGTCCGGTATTTCGGGCTCGAGTTTATGTCGACTCTTGCCTTTCTCGCCTGCAGAGCTTCAACATTGTCTTCCATTCCGGTCTTCAGCTCAGGCTTGTAGCTAAAAGTGGATGCTTCTCCGGTGTTGGTGTATCCGTGTGCTGTTCAGGACTGCGTATATTCCTTCCATTTGGTCTTGAACTTCTCGATCCTTTCGGTTGCTTCGTGTTTCCAGACCATCTACGACCAGAGCATCCCAACAACAACGGGAATGTGAAACTCCCGAAATATTGCACAATACAATCTTCGTAGTACCAATAGTGCGCTTGGTCCTCAACTGAAAGCAAGGACTGGGCTGTTTATGGAGGCCCTTTACCTTCCAGTTATTGTTTCAAAGTTCTTTTGGAAATCAAGACAGGCCTAGACGAGCACAGCAGGCAGAAAGACCGTAACCTTTCACGTTTCGGATCTATGGACTATGGGAGTTGAAATATTGAAGTCCCCATTCATGTGCGCATGAGGCCTCCATTGTCAGGCTATGAGCATCGCCGGACAGGGCATTGCAATGGATTCGCCGAGTACTCTGACACTACATCTTTCGACTACACATCGTCTTACTACGACTGCGACCATGACCGCGACAACGACTGCCGCCACCACAGCCAGCGCCGCCGCCACAGCTTCGGCAATCACCACGGCTGACACTTCTACACAGATCCCCTACTTTTGCTATTGTAGCTACTTCACAATGCTCGTGAACAGCAGCCGTCCTTTGAGCTCGAGCTTTGCTACCTCGTCTAATGGTGCGAGGTCGTCCAGATCCTTGGTGGAAAAGAGCCGCACGCATGCCGCACAATGCTCAAGCTTCAGCTAATGGGTTACAACCTCTGACCTCCAAGGCCCGAAGATTGCAGCCCCTCTTTCCAGGAGGTGCTGAAGGAAGAACTCTGGACTCTGGCGAAAACTTTCCTGCTGCCTACGAGGCCCAAGGCGATCCACACGACTCACAGCGACACATGTGCCAAGACGAAAATAGCCGCAGAGAGAGAGAGAGAGAGAGAGAGAGAGAGAGCGAGAGAGAGAGCGAGAGAGAGAGCGAGAGAGAGAGAGCGAGAGAGAGAGAGAGAGAGAGCGAGCGAGGGGAGAGACTGTACCGAGCGCTTCTGGCCGACCAGTAACATAAGTCCTCGCCCAAAACCCTCCACCCTTTATTAACCTGGAGTCAACCCTCAACCCTAATCCCTAAACCCTAAACCCTAAACCCCACCCTAGACCCTAAACTTTAAACGCCACTACACCCTGAGAGCAAGCAGCATTTTTCCGATCCAGCGCGTCTGCCAGCTTCGAGAAGCGCTGAGGCGGCGCAGGGGGAGGCGCAGGCGCGGGAGGCTGCTGCCAGCCTCAGGCTTCGTTTAGGGTTTAGGGTTTAGGGGTTTAGGGTTTAGGTTCGACGTCATAATCAGAAGAACAAGACAAGACCGAGTGATGTGAAGAAGGCAAGAAGAATAACAATAACGATCACAGTAAGAAGCACAACAACAATAATAGTTAGAATCATCTAACTGTTAGAAACAATGGTAATGAGCGTATAAATAATCATGGGGGTGAGGGGGGGGGTCGGGGGGGGGGTCAAGTGCTACGAGGGTCTTAATAAGGTGCGATCAGTGCCTATTAGAGCCTTGTCTACAAGATGGAGATAAGAAAGATATTAGGATACTGGGGAGCTTCTGGCAGCCGGGCGCTGTACATGCAAACACTTGTGAACCAAGACCTAAGAGATGCGATCCGTTTTATTTGCTTGTCTGGGGGTCGTTGCTCAGGCACTGGGATACAACCTGGAATCTTGGGCTCCCACCCTAAACCCTAAAACCCTAAACCCTAAACCGTAAACCCTAAACCCTAAACCCTAAACCGTTTGATTCAGGTTATGTCAAGAATCAAGAGGTGAAGCGCTGCAGCATCCTGAGGACTACCTTCCGTGCCGACTGCTTTTTAGCTTCTGCAATACCATTCATACTAATAGTAGCCCGGTGCCCCGCGGTGGACCCACCTTTTAAGAAGAATAGGGATGTACCGTGCTTGTTGCAAGTGCTGAAAGTAGTGGCCAGGCCGTATGTTTCCAGACTTCAGTGCACTGCGGAATGGAGCTGCTAAACCCTGTTTTGGGGGACCAGCTCGGGTCTCCGAAACGGTGATTTTGGGCTTAAAACTAGCGTTTTGAACTACGCCGATGACGCGTTTTTTCTTCACCCCTCCTGCGTGTCGCTATGGCGCATGACGTCTCCGATCATACGCCACAGGTCTTGCGGGTGATTCCAGTGCTTCCACTGGAACTCACGGACCCGAATGACCCGAAGCTCAACGGCTTGCTTGCGCTGAGCAGAAACCCCGTGGAGCCTTTTTTCATCCACATCCACAGACCGTCCAGACCACAAGTACCGGCAAGCACCTGCTTCACACCCTTTGAGGGTAGCTTGTGCTTGCAGAACTTTGTCACTGAGGTCCTGCGTTCTTCTGAGGCCTCGAATGGTTCACGGAATCCATCTTGGCCACAGCAAGATAAGGACTCATGGCTGCGACAATGCATGCAGTGTTCAAGACTCATGCCGTGCAGTGTTGAAGACTCATGCCGAACAGGACGTCATCAAGCCCCCCCCCCCCCGACCCCGCCCGAGTCGATCGGAAATTTGCGGTGTTCAAGACTCATGCCAAACAGGACGTCATTAAGCCCCCCCCCCACCCCCCCCACCCCACCCTTCGAGTCGATCGGAAATGTGCGTGACAACATCCAACATCATCTGCGTCATCATCCTCAGCATCTCATGGTGATGATTAATTGCGGCTTGAAACATGCACGGACGGTGGGTCCAGGAAGGGGCACCGGCCTAATAGTAGTACTAACTATAACAATAGTAACACTGCTCATGATGATGACGATGACGGTGACGATGACAATGATGATTATGATGATGATGCCGATGACAACAATAATCGTAACAATACAAAGAATAAAAAAAAATAGTTGTTGTTGTAACAATGATAAGAACTCTACTAAAAGTCATAATGGCAGTAGCAATAATCATCATCGCAATGATCATCATGACCGCACTAATCACAACAAAAAACCCTGAACCCAATAGCGTAAAGGTCGCAGGATCCAAGGTCTTCACAGAACTCACAAGACAAGAAGCACAATTTGATATAACAAAAAAGCTTGACAGAGCTGCAAATGTACCGACCTACCTATGCCTTAACTACTGCACATAGTCTCAGAGGTTCCGCGACAAGTTGAGGAAGACTGCACTGTAAAATGCCTAGGAATGCAGAGGCTTGCCGACACCTTTGCCTGGAACATTGCAACTTTTGCGGCCCAGAAGACCCTGCCACGCCCAGGGTTGTGGGGCATGTGGGGCGCCGCCGCAGCCTGGGATCTTAGGGCCCTCCGTCCCGGATTACGGGGTTGGGTTAAGGCCCTGTGGGCTCAGTTCTGCGGATGGTTTCGTCTCGGTTTCTCAGGGCTTCGTGCTTTTATGCGCTGGGGAAAAACTTTATCGGTGAGGTTTTTGGCTAGTACTTGATGCTTCGCGTGTAGGGATGACGCTCACTATAATTATGTCGTGTGCTGCCCTGAGTCCTGCTACTGCTGCTGCGATTGCACACTGGGATCTTCTATGCTATGTGTGTGGTGTGTTGCCGATTCTGCATACTATTACTACTGCTGCTGCGCAGTCTCGGGCAAGGGGATTCAGACTTGAAGGCTTTTCTCGTGTGCTCCAGATGTGTTTATTGTGAAAAAGGCGTCATCATTAAGCCCCTGTCCTCAAAAACGACCCAACAAACAAGGAGAGCGGAAATGAGACATAACCGTCGGCTACGGAGAGCAGAACACGTGCAACAAGGCGAAAAACCCGTGCAAGACTGTGTTTTCAAAGTCAGCGAGTGGCTGAGGTGAGCGACAGAGATATCGGATATGCAAAGGCATGTAAACGACAGCAAAAACCGCCTCCAGAACTGAACCACCCGCTAGGGGGTTAACGGGACCGGTGCTTGCTGAAGTTTAGCCGGCAGGTGCCCAAATGCATGCATGAAGTTTGAAAAAGCTTCGTCTACACACTGGCTTGCCTGATCTCAACAAAGCCTGCAGCACATGATTCAACCCTAAACCTCTGAATTCTCAACCCTGAACCCTCAACCCAGTAACGTAAAGGTCGCAGGATCAAGGTCTTCACAGAACTCACAAGACAAGAAGCACAATTTGTTGTAACAAAAAAACCCGCTAAGACTGTACCTGTACCGACCTACCTATCGGAACTACTGCACAACATATCCGAGGTTCCGCGACAAGTTGAGGAAGACTGCACTGTAAAATGCATAGGAATGCAGATGCTTGCCGACACCCGAATCAGCCCCACCTTTGCCTCGAACATTGCAACTTTTGCGGCCCAGAAGACCCTGCCACGCCCAGGGTTGTGGGGCATGTGGGGCGCCGCCGCAGCCTGGGACTGGGAGGGCTTTGGCATTAGCGACCTGATTCGCGTGACAGCACACATGACGTCTGACCTCAGGCTCGCTCGGCCTCAGGCCTACTATACCATAGTTATAATCAGGAACAGTATGGGAGTTTCCGAAAATTGGGGGCACCTTATGTTAGGTTCCTTTTAATAAGGATCCTACTAGTTAGGGTACTATATCAGGGTTCCCTATTTTCGGAAACTCCCGTATAGGTAATTCTGAGGAGCAGAGTCTCCCAGCCCCAAGCTCCGGCAGAACCCAAACGATAGCATGCGAAGCAGCTCTCTGTAGCACATTGATGCTCAATACCGACAAGTCCAAACACATATCCGAATTGAACAGTATACCTGAGCCACAAGCCGGAGACCCGAAACCCTAAACCCAATCCCTATACGATGATATATGGGAGTTTCCGAAAATAGGGGACCCTAAGATGGTACCCTAAATAGTAGGATCCGTAGTATAAGGACCCCAAAATACGGTACCCCTATTTTCGGAAACTCCCATATCCCAAACATGCAATCGCGAAGCCCTGAACCCTCCAAGCCGGACAAGCTGCCCATGAAAGGACTCCACATCGGCGGAGCCTTGTTAAGAAGGGGCCTTAATAATTGGAATAGGGTTCCTTTAAAGGGATCTATATGGGTTACTATAAGGCATACCTAACGGGTACTATAATATAGGGGCCTTAACAATTAGAATAGGGTTATGGGACATATTATACCATAATCATAACAAGGAGCCCCCAAAATAGCATAGGTATTACTTCGGCCCCCTAGTTTAAAGCAACCCTTTTAGAGGAGCCCTACTATAGGTAATTGTTTAGGCCGCTATATTACCGCCTTAGAGACACCACGGAGCTCCAGACACAGGCTTCGCGGCGGAGGGTGTGAGGGCTTCTTTCTGCCTCTTGGGGTTTTGGTGGCTTGGGGCGTTCAGGGTCCACATTCAGGGTTTAGGGTTCAGGGTTTAGGATTTAGGGTCTAGGGTTTAGGGTCGAGGGAGTTGGGGTCGTTGAGCTTGAATCTGAGGCTGAGGACGATCAGCTAGCCAACTCTCATATTCAGGGTTCAGGGTTCAGGGATTACTTGGCTGGTTCGGCGGCAGCTTAACTTTACGGCAGCTGATGACTTGACATGGCTCGTTAACCCTGAGCATGACTTTGCACCGTGAGCAGAACTACAGAAAGCTCTCATGCCCACTCTGCCAATCGCCAGGTGATGCCAGGTGGCTGCGTTGAAGCCCGCCGCTTTAGACGTCGTCGCAGCTTTGGCTGGAGTCGCCGCTTTGGACGCTCCTCCTGCTACGGCTACCGCTTGGAGTACGACGGCAACCCCAGCTCACTAGCGCTACCGCGACCACGTTTGCCACGAAATGAAGACCCGAAGCCCTGCACCTGGCGGTAGCCAGCTCGGCAGCCGGGGGCCGGGATACCATGAGCCACTCAGGCAGATTTCTTGGATGCTGGGGTCATGAAGTGGCTGCAGTGTAAAATGTACAAGTGGAACATGTCGGGCTATATATGCTGCTTGCAAACCGTGCTGGAGGGTCGACGGGTAAAGACTACATGCCTAGCACGGACCTACTCGTAAGCCATACATGTCGCGAGCCCATACAGGGCAACGGCATCCATCTACGTCACTCATCATTCAGAGGCTGTTTGGGGCAACTATTCTGGAGGAGCACGTGCCAGGAAATCCCAGCTGTCCAATGGCGAGTCCAACAATGAATCCATGTTGCCTTTTTGGTAAGCTGTCTCGGGATCCGGAGATCATGCATAGGCCACGTAAGAAACGTCGCTTCTTGGAAGCTAACATTGCATGTGGCAAGGTTGCACGGGAACTCCAAGCACGATCCCACCTCTCGCAACATATACCGGTATTCGTGCAGGGCCAAACCATCATGCTATCTATCTCTCTCTCTCTCTCTCTCTGTCTCTCTCTCTCTCTCTCTCTCTCTCTCTCTCTCTCTCTCTCTCTATATATATATATATATATGTATATGTATATGTATATATAGAGAGGCAGTTTCTAAGTCGTGGAACCGGAACTTAGGGTTCTGTTCCGAAAGCGAACCAGAAAGAGACATGTCAGGATCATCGCCTCGGAAAGCCTCGCACTCTTCGGATCGACAGGTGTGCTCAGTCGGCTCTGACTCCAGGGTTTAGGGTTTAGGGTTTAAGACTTCGGGAGAAGACGAAACAAAGAATAACCTTGAGGCACTTCGAGCTTCAGAATTGGGGAAATTGCGTTCGCCGTGATGATCAATCCCGATGCAAAGCCTAATTGGCACTAGCTCACAGCTCTGCGCACTCTGCAAAAGGACTTGCATGAACCGAGAGCGATGTCTAAGTTGCTCCAGTAGACACCGTGCACACGCCAACTTCCGCAAATGCCTGATGTCACGAACAACCACAAAGAATCGACAGTGGGTACAGGTTTGAAGTGATGCGCGACCTTGTTGCAAGACTTCTGTCGATCCCACGCACCTGAATTCGAAGAGCATCCTGTGCGTCGACCCTTGCGTTCCCTGCTGCCAGCTCGCAAAGATCCGAAGCATGAGAGCCTTTCATGCCTTCTGTTCCAGGTTACTTCTGAGGTGAGACTGTCGTAGAACGTTGCCGCAGTACCCTAAACCCTAAACCGTGCACCGTAAAGCCTAAGATGTCAACCTTCCCAATTCAGGGAGCAGTAGCCTTCAAAGGAGAAGCCAGAAAGTTGGAACATCATTATCCTCATGCCCGTGTGGTAAAAGTATAGGGAATCCTAGCGCTAATCATCCTACATCCATGTTCCAACTTTCTGGGGTTCACCACACAGCAATTGCAAGGGCAATGATACCCGCAGCTATGTCAGAGACCGCTGCTACAGACTCGGCTGACAATTGCTGAGTGCGAAGACCCTTGAAAGGACAACCGATATATGTTTAGGGTTGAGGGTTTAAGGCAAGAAACAATGCCCAAACAGCTGTACAAGGTCTGCCTCTGTTACAACGGCTTGTGGCCAAAGCATCAAAACGTATCCGTGTCAAGGAGTTGGGGCTTAAGGGTCTCAACATCGTGTTTACCAATGTTATACATCAACGACTCCAATCGGAAATCACCGACTGTCCATTCGTTCAAGTGCCGCTAAGTATCACAGCATTTAACCAACTTGCTGACACTGTTCGTTTGTTGATGCCCTTTTTAACCACGCGGTGTTAGCTTGACGCTTATGCCAGATATGTTCCTCATTGCACAGGGCCATGTTTCAGTCTGAGCGAGGCGACGGGAAGTTGCAACAGATGTCCTACGGCCTTGCGGCTCACTGGATCAGATCTCCAGCGAACTTCCGGATGAGCCCATCCTCAGAGACCACTGCCACCAGACAGCGCAGAGCGAAGCCCGGAGAAGTAGACACTGACACCCTAAGCTCGATTTTACCCTCTAGACTCTAGTCCTGGCGTTTTTTTCGGAGTGCCTTGAGGAAAGCCCCCTTCTGAAGAACCCGATGTGTGGGAAGCTGCTGGCGTGCGCTTGCCCCTTGCTTTGCATCTGTCGCCACTTATCTACGACTGCACTCTCGCACATCTCGTGCGGGTGCATCCCGACACTTTGACTCCTGAACCCCGCGAAGACCCCTGAATGCTACACCCCAAAACCCTCGCCATGTGGGTTTCATAGAACGTCCCACACACTCACTTCCGTTGAGTAGAGCAGCCAGAGGCAGCATCTCGTCCATGGTGACAAGGTTGAACCTGGCTTGGGGTCTGGGGTTTTAGGGTTGTGGGTTCTTGTGGCGCATGGGTGTGGTGATCCTCCGGTCCACCTATTTGCGCCTGAAGCTACAGCCACTGTCAAAGTCCCAACAACCATGGAAGCTCTAGGAGCTTCCTGTTTAGGGAGCTTGAATCTCTCTGCCACATCTGGGTAGAGCTGCAAAGCAGCCCGAAGCCTTGCATCTTCGACATGATGAACCACAGGCTCGACTCGGAGCCTCACTGAGTCCAAAGCCCGAACCCTCCTGGATCCTGGGGCAAAGGCTCCAAGACAAAGAAGAGGAAATGCTTGAAGTTGCCTTTGAAGGGATCTGTAAGGGCTCCCTTACGGGGATCTGTCAGGGTTCCTTTTAAAGGGATCGGCAAGGGTTCCTTTAAAGGGGTTTATAAAGGGTTCCTTTAAAGGGATTTATAAGGGTTCCTTTAACGGGATCTGTAAGGGTTGCTTTAAGGGCGGTCCAGGGAGAGTTCGTGAAACGCATCTCCGAGTAAGCGACCAAAAACTTTCCGAAGCTCCGGTTCCCTAAATTGAAGGCTACGGCACGGTGCTCAATCCTGAGATACCTGCGATCTCGAGGTAGTATGGCTGTAGTGGGAATACCAGTCAGGCTGATGATGCTGACAAAAAACCATCGCAGCAGCAGTTATTCATGACATGTGTGATTCGACAGCCCAGTTGCAGTTGAGATGTGCCTCAGCGCCGCTGTCGTGGATGAGCTGGAAGTGATGGACATACCTGTTTGGTCTGTGGGGAATTCGAGCTTTGATCCTTCCGCGAAGGCTGCCCCCACCCGGAGATCCAGCTCCAAACAACCCGGTAACCCTCGGAGTGGTGCCAATCTCCGATGGCAGATAGCAGAAACTGCAGCCGCACAGATAAACATACCGACGAACACTACTTGACTTGTCTGCGCTCGAATCAGGACGACGACAACGGCAACTCCACCACGACAATTATGGCGATGACGACAGCGATTTACGATGACCGTTATGGTGATGATGGTGGCAACAAGGACGATACCGGCAGTAGAGGCAGTAGCACAGACAGAGATGCTCTGGCTGTAGCTGCACGCACTGTGAACAAAAGCAATTAAGCTGCGCGAGTTACAGGCGATAGGGGTGATCGCCTTGCATCGGTTTAGGGTTTAGGGTTTAGGGTTTAGGGCAGGTTGGAGGATCACGTGTTGTCAGGTTTTGGGCCTTGTCTCTAGCTAGCTGCCAAATGCCTGCAATGAGAGATCCAGAAGATCCTAAACCCTAAACACCGACAAGGGGATAGCCGGGTCACGCGTGCGCATAGACCCGGAAGAGGCGCCTGAGGATCTGGGACAGCACCTTGAGATGCCGAACCGTTCAAGGCTTGGGGTTTAGGGGTTTAGGAGAGGCAAGGACCAAAACAGACTGTCGCGCGATTTCGACTCAATCCTGCTTTTAGCCATTCATGCCCGCGTACATTCATTCACTCATCCATATCTTCCTAGCACGCACGAATCGGCCCGTTCATTCATTCACTGACGAAAGTCTTGCTTCTCCTATCCCGTGGTCCATCAAGTCAATCCTGCGATGCCCCACTGAACCGGACTCGACTGCTGAGCAGCCAACTTCTCAGCTCCAGCAAAAGCCCCAAAACGTTCTACGAAACCTCCAACATCTCAACAGAAAGGCAAACGAAAGCCTAAACCCGAAACCTGGCTCTTCTTGCTCCACTGGCGCAGGGCGCAGCTCTGGAGGCATGGGGGAGCCGTCCAGCGGAAGCAGGTCCTGGCTTCGTAGAGCGAGGCAGATTCTCCTAAACCCTAAATCAAAGGGGAAAAGGAGGGACCCTTAATGGGGACCCCTACCCTATAATGGGCTATATAATGGCTATATCATAGCTATATTAAGGGTATATGCCTAGGGGTCCCCATTATGGGTCCCTCCTTTTACCCTTGGACTAAGACTGTAGGATCCTGATCCAGGAGCTTGGCATCGGCCCACTCGACGAGGCGACGCATGTACTGCGGCGCGGGCCTTACCATAGGGGCCCCTCATGGTATATGGGCCTAAATAATTACCAATACTGATTTGGGCGTTCCTTATTATACTTCGACTATAATGGGGCCCCAAGACCATATTCTTAATTATTAAGGCCCCTAGAGGGATTGTAGCAGGGTTCCCTTAAGGGGTACGTTCATGCCACCACAAGGCCGTGGTGGAGCTTGACGCTTCTTCTTGCAGAATCCATCTCATGTGCTGATCAATGCTACCTTTGTACAACGACACACTCTCGATTTTTTTGCCTCCAAGACCCGAGCTTCCTAGATATATATATATATATATATATTGATTGATTGTCCATCGCCACAGTCTTGAACAATCTGAACAGTAAGGTGCTCTTCCAAATTCAGGTTTGTTCTCTGGGGTGCTGGTGCAACTGAACTGTTGAGTGAGAACCGAGTCTTTCACAGTGATTGCCAGCTCTCTTGTGCCGACAGTGCTGTATTTGTGCCATACCACTGCGTGTTCCCATATTGACCTGTGTTGCAACGAGCCGGGATTCCACGGGTCCCAGAGCACTGGGGCGTAATAGGTATAGTAACATTGCCTCCATAGTCCATATTCCCTCATCCAATTATGAAACTGAAAGCCTTGTTCTGATTATCCAAGCCCCTATACTTGTCTACACCCTCTCTGTAACGCTTCTTGTACCTGCCAGGAACCCTTCAAAGGAACCTAAAATGATCTACGGTGCAGAAACTACGGCGCGCGCCGAAACGCGACTGATCGTGATCTGCTGCAGAGTTTCCGGGCTTGAAGTAGATAAAACTTGATAACACATCAACCAACAATTCGGGGAGTTCCTTCGTCTAGTCGCCTAGCTGAAACGGACCCCCTCTAAACCCTAAACCCTAAACCCTCCCTACTCTGCCAGAGCCAGCTCCAAACTCACAAGCTTCCTGGGACTTGTCCAAGATGCAGGAGCTCAGGAACCGCGGTGGTTTCATCCGCCCAGTGATAATGCACCTTCTCACCTCCAGTCCGGGGGGTGAATGTTGGGGCTTCGGGCCTTGAAAGGTCTAAGCTCGCTGCCCAGATCCAGATTCCGAAAAGAACCCGAGGTATAGCCCTTTTGGGATGACTAAGCCTGTGACCCAAATCGTCGAGTTTCTCGAAGGTAACGAGACTGTGCAGAGCCGTGTTTGACTCTTCCACTGGCTTACTCTATATCTACGATATTGTTTCATGCCGAAAAATTTGTCATCCTCCCGCTATCTAAACTGGCTTGTTGCGGGAGTCCGCAGCTAACGTCTCAAGATTTGGGCAGGACATCAAAGCTCCCCGCCTGCAGACATGCACGGGCACGTGCGATCGGTGCAAATGTCACTGATGAAGCTGACGACGCGCACCGCTTCCTGCGGGAGCCACATTTCTCTGAGCGACCTCTGCCTAAAACCTGATGCATCCCAGCGGGAGAGACGGATCACGTGAACAAGAGCTTGTTGAAGCTCCAGATCCCGAAGCCCTTACGTGGGTCGTTTATGAAAGGAGCATTGGTATACGCCCTCTGCTCACACACAGACTTGCTGTTATGACAACGGCAACCATGCCTGAACTAAGTAGAGCAGAACGAAGCCACCTCGCAAAAAAAAAACAAACATCCTATCCCCGGAGCCCAAATCCCGAAATCTAGGCTTCGGCGTGTGATTGCTTATGCTGCCCTCGATGTCCAGGCCTTTCTCCTGCTCTCCTCTATACAGTTCGTCAGTCAGCCAGTCAGTCGATCAGGTTAGTCAGCTAGTTAGCTAATAGAGAATATACAGCCTGCTGTTTGTCCCGAATACTGTCATCGAGCTTGGAGATGGAAATCTTGAACGCCCCGTCCTCGAAAATTACTTTGCTCTGCGATGCGATCCACGTGTCCTTCACCGACGCAGCTGAGTGCTGAACATCGTAGGCTGAGCGCTTGTATTGCTGTAGCAGCAAAGCTTAATTGAAGCTCTCCTTTACAAACATGTCAGCAGATCCTGCATACTCTGCAAAACAATTCCATCAACCACTTTATTATTAACTTGACCCCCGCGGCACATTCAACATCTATAGACCGTTAGAGTTTGGAGCTCAGGATTTAGGGACAGCCGGCACACATCCCCACTCTTGAGACTCTGCTTCGCTGGAGTTTTGAACAGTTATTTCCTTCCCCTCTGGGTTTCCAGGGTCGTGATGCTCGGATGCCAGTTCCGAACAGCGGACGTTGCCGTTCCGGTGCCGGTCTCCTCATCTACGGTGCTGGGGCGCTTCACGGAGGCGCGGATGTCAGCGGTCCCCAGGGTCTCCTGAGAATTGGGCATCCGGATAGGAGTGGAGCCTCGGGGTTTCGTGGTGTCCGCGTTGCTGCACATTGCCCCAGTTGCTTCATGACGCGACATATCAACCTACGACCACGGCTATACATTCTCGAGGTTCCCGACCACTAACCCAGAACCACGCTCCACGCAATGCCTGAAGACAAGTGGACATGGTGTGCCGTCGAGGTCCAAGCAGCCCGCATGCCAACAGTGGAAGAAGGTTCTGTGCACATCTTGCCAGCACCAAGACGTTTGAACAGCAGGATCACCATCATCTCCGACGGCGTGCCGCCGCCACGTCGTCCTTACCATGATCACCCCCATTACCAGCATCACCCTCATCATCATCAAGGTCATCGCCATCTTCAGCAAGAAGGGGCAATCAGATGCAGCTCCAGGGAAGTACCTGTCAGAACCCGAGATCTCCTGGGCTTGCAGGTGGAGAACATGGCCGCCACGGTGAGGGGTCGGGATGGTCTGGGGCATCGTCTCCTTGCCGCCAGGATGAGAGGACCATGCTTCGACGATCCGCAACCCCTATGAAAGCCACAGCTCGAAGTAGGAGCAAAAGGAAGAGGAGGAAGAGGAGGAGGTGGAGGAGGAGGAGGAAGAGGAGGAGGAAGGGAGGAGGGGTGATAGGAGTAGCTCGGTCCAGCCATGCTGCTCAAACACCCCGGGGCCGGAAGCCTCCAACAGCCAAACGGGACCTTCTAAACTCTCGGAGCCCCCTTCACAGCCCACCGACACGGTCCTGAGCCATGGCGTAAAGAGAAGAGAGGCGAGGCCAGGGAGTCTTGAGCCCACTGCAGGAAGCCTGGAGCTTGCTGGGGTTTCGAGGCTTCGGATTAGAGGCCGCCGGGGAACCGAAGCCTTCCAGCAAAGAAGAAGAGGCTCCTTGGGTTCTGGCACTTACCATGCGACTTCGAAGCACCTTTATCGGTTTAGGGCTTTTAGGGTTTAGGGTTTAGAGATAGATGCTTCGCGCCAAGGAACAAGATCTTCGGGCCTGAGAGGGCTAAGGGAAACGAGCAGAGCCTCTGACACCTGCAGCGCGCTGTTGCCACTATGTTGCCGAGATCCGGCATGGTGAAACTGCCGAGCTGCTTTGCAGGGGCTGCGTCGGGGATTCCTGGGCTCTGAGGCTTCAGGATCCCCCGCGAACTACGTGCGAAGTGGAGCACCTTGGTCTCCAGCTGTACAGATGAAATTCCTGCGAAGACGCAGGATGGCATTGATCCGCTCCTGGCATCATGGCTGAGATTCTCGCCTTGTGACCTTCATCGTAACATTCGAGCTGTAGACATTATAGAACGTTTATTTATAGTAACAATACAGAACCCTCACAAAAAAAGAAGAAAAAAACACCCAACGCCAGGCTAATTTTTTTGGGAAGTGAGGTTTCGGATTTGGGGTTCAGGAAGCAACACTTACCAAATCAACTGAACCATTTGTGACAACAGACGCTAGCGGCAACCGAATCGCCCGAATCATAGTCGGCGCAACTTCCTCGTGGCCGTGCTACGAGACAGACATCCTGTAAGCCTGCTCCCAAAATCACCAACAGAAAAACCACAAGCATCAAAACCCTGAAATCCAAGAAACCTTCCCCCCTGAACCCTAGTATAGGGGCCTTAACAATTAGATCAGGGTGTTGGGGCCCATGATACTACTATTATAATAGGGAGCCCCCAAAATAGTATTGGTAGTAATTTAGGGCCCCTGTATCAAACCCCCGGGCCCAACCCTTCCAAGGTCCTGCGCCGTCTCAGAACCCCGGGCTGGGCTCGCCCCTGCAAAACCAAAACAGAGGAGTTCGGAGCTTCTCGGATTGAAGGCTCTTAGGGTTCCTAGTACGTGGGGGGTTTCGGGCTAGCTTTTAGGGTTTAGGGTTCCAGATGTGGGGTTCCAGGTTTGGGGGTTGAGTTTGTAGGGTTTGGGGTTTAGGATTCAGTCCTTCCGGTTCGGGGTTCAGGGCTCAGGGCTCGTCGTAGTACCACGATCATCAACACAATTCGCCCCAGCCCTTCCAAGGGGCCCCACACTTGCACCTCCTGTAGCCAGGCAGCTGGGCAAGAGAAAGAGAGGCAGATGGGAAGGCAGTCGCCAGATCGACGTTGTTGGTAATTGGGCATGGACTTGTCATGGACGCCTTTATGAACTCTCACCTGTGGGAGATGCTTTGCCTGCCGTAGCGCATCCAACGGACCCAGGCCGTGGGGAACTTACGGACGAGCTCGTCCCAGAACTTCGTATCCTGGCATTCAAGTTCATGGCTGAGGCTTTGGGCATCCCAGAGACTCCAATATCCCTTAACTAAGGAATATACCTTAAATTATAGTGGGGATCCTTAATATGATTAAGGAATATTCCCTAATTAAGGGGTAGTGGAGTCTCTAGGTTTGAAGGTTTCAAAGAATGCGCACGGCTAGCTGCAGCTTACAATCCGACCCCATACACACGAACGGTCTGACTGGAGGTCCGAAACATCCCTGGAGCCCATATGCACCCGTAATAAACCCATGTAGAAGCCTTCTGGAACCATGGGTGCCGCGAGGCCGCCTTTTCCTTACGAGAGCCCCTTTTGGGGGCACTTGGGCCTCAAAGCACACTCCAATCCCGCACAGCCTCATGGAGGAACTTCGCGGCGAAACGGAAGGCGGCCATATTGCCTGAGTTGATCAGAGAAAAGTCCTGGAAAGCTGGAATGCTCTGTACGACAAACGGCTTGCGACGTGAGGACACCCCATCCACTGCAGTGATGCATTCCCCCTCCGCGCGGAACTGTTCTTAGCAAAACACATTTGTTGAAGCTGTTTGGCTATCTGCAGCCCCCATGCCCGCATGCTTGCTCACGCTCTACGGGTACCTATCATCAACCCCAAAGTAGTTGGTCCACCCTCGGTCCGCTCAGTTCCCGACCAAGTGGTTTTCCAAAGTTGTGCCCAAACTTGCGGCGTGTGGTGTTTACAGCGTTGTTGGATGGAGTGGGAAGTGGCTTCAACCTCGCGTAACTTGGGAAGACTAGTCTTTGCTCTGTCGCTTACCACCTGCAGCATCAAGTTCTGACTTTCTCGCCGGCTCTTTGCAAGGTCTGTGCACATGGAAAAGGCAAGTGAGTCATGTTCCTTTTGGCCGACACTTGAGAATTTGGCGGCATTTGGGATGATTCGGGTATGTGGGCCAAGCCAGCCGTAAACCCGAAATCCTACAGGGTGAGGCCGGGTGAGGCCATGCCAAAGCCTCGAGAGAGCCCAGCTCCACAAATTGCATCCGGCGTGCGCTTCATGGCCATCATCACAAAGCCTGGGGTTCGTGTGAGGCTCTGTGGACCGTTAGAGTTCGCGGAGCCCCTGCAACTAGAACAAAGCATGCCACACAGCTTCTGCTGAAACGACCGAAACGCACGACCGAAACCTCAATGCACCTGCAGGGCTCAGAGGCTACGGTTTAGGGCCCATACAAGTCAGGCTCATTATCCAACGCCTCTTGCGGCTTTAGGGGAACCCGTATTGTCCAGGGCACGCGCGTTGCCGCGGATCGCGGGCGAAGCGTGCTGGAGGGCCAGGCCCTCTTGGCGTATGGCAAGGTTCACCTGGGCTTAGAGCTTCGGGGCACCCAGAGGCTCCATAGTAGTTCCTTTTTGGGATTACCTTATAGGATTCTAAATATGATCCCCAAAAAGGAGTTACTATGGAGACTTAGGGCATCTTGGCATATAGGGATTTTGGGGGGTTTCGGGTCCGCCGTCTTTCAGACTTTAGGGCCTAGGAGTTAGGGAATTGGCGGTTTTGGGCTTGAAGGATTTAGCGTTCCATGCGTCCAATCCCCACGCCGCGTTGAAGCACTGACTCTGAACCCTAAGCTTCAAGACCCTAAACCCTAAACTCATCCTAAAGACCCTAAACCCTAAACCCATCCTAAAGACCCTAAACCCTAAACCCATCCTAAAGACCCTAAACCCTAAACCCATCCTAAAAGGCTAACCACTCTGAACCCTGGAGTTCGAGACTCGACCTTCGCCCAGCTACCAGATCCTCGTTGCCCTTCAGCCGCAGGGAGGCAAACTCCATGGCCCGCCAGGTCCTGAGCTCCGAGAATGGCCCACACCCGCTCGGCTTTAGGGCTTTGGGGTTTAAGGGTTTAGGGTTTAGAGGGGTTGGGGTTTAAGGGTTTCGGGTTTACGGTTTTAGGGTTTTAGGGTTTAGGGGTAACGGCTCTGATGGCGATGTTTGTGACTGCGATTGTAGACATCACAGCACCGGCCATGAAGTAGCCTTTCCAGCACGAGGCATACCATGGAAGTGGAACCAGACGCAGACGTGGTAACAGTCAGAGGCATGCTCTAGACAATAAAACAAAAAGAAGGAGAAACATGGGGGGTTTCCGAAAATAGGGAACCTTACTATAGTGCCCTAAATAATGGGATCTTTATTATAAGGACAAGGACCCCAAAACAAGGTCTCCCTAATTTTCGGAAACTCCCACATCATTGCAGCCCCGACTGCTGCGCCACGGCGTGGAAGACGATCTCGTCGTCATCCCGGAGTTCCTCCGTGGCGTAGCGCAGGACGGAACCTTCCTGCCGCCAAAAAAATCGGAGTTTCCGGTTGTTCTTTCTATTGAACGCCTTTTTAATCGAACTGCAAAGGAGTTAGGCTTCAGGATTGAAGCGTAGGCTTTGGGCTTTTGGGCTTGCTTCTACATAGGATCCTGAGAGTCGCAAACCCCCAAAGCGGTGAACTGCCAAGTGCTGCAAGCTCCGCTGTCGCCTGCCGCACAGCCTTCAACATCACCGGAGCATTCCCGTTAAGCCTGCCGGATGGTTTAGGGTTTACGGTTGGCGTACGTAGACGTCCCGACTCACAGCTCAATATTGCGTGAGGGTCTACGATTTTAGCTGTCAGACACCCCCTACAGGTTCGACCTCCCCTGAAGCTCGAACAACATGCCCAGCAGCTGCAAACTTTCGGATCATTCTGGTGCAAGACATGGACATTCAAGGCCAAAACTTTGCAATGGCAAGCAAAACAGTAAGAGCACCGATCCTGGCGGTCATCTTGTCAGCCAAAGCAGTAATGGTGATTGGTCTTGATGCTGTGCATGCTGATTGCGATGCCAACGTAGCAGTAGCAGCCGCACCGGCAGCAGCGAGATGGAAATTTCAGAGATTGCCCAACAAGATCTAGCTTACTACCCAACAGCCCGAGCCGGAACACCTTCCAATCAAGCATGTATGAGCATCGGAGCACCTTTCGTCCCGCACGATCTGGGGATTGCTCTCAATCAGCTTGGACCTGGAAGGGAGAGGCAGAAAGTTGGGCGGTCCTTGTGGTGTTCTGGGCATTCGGGCAAGGCTCAAAGCTTTGCCTTGAGTGGACACGTCCAAACTGTCCAAACCAGCGGAAGAAACCTGACAAGCCTGCGCACGCTGCGCCCGACCAGAACATTTGCAAGTGAGTGTGGATGTATGCGTGTATAAACACATATGCATTTGTCTACTCCTTTTCATGTGTACGTGTATGTTCATAATGGCACGTGCATACATTCCGGCTACCATCCACCATAGTGTCCTCCCACATCAGCCATGGTCCCAGTTAAGCCCCGAAGGTCGGGATTCATCACTGCCCAGTGAGGAGGGATGCCCAAACTGTGAGATCCTGGCAGGTCGTCTGTCGGCCCTTGGTAGAAATGGTCCATGTACCTTGGATGCACCATAAATCTACATATATATATATATATACATATAAATATATACATATATACATATATGTATATATATATATACTACACTTACTACACAATGTATAAAAGGATGCACCTACCTGCCATGCTGCCTCCACTCTTTACTCGGACCGTGTTGCGGCAAGCATTCTGCTCACACCAAAACCTCTCAACGCACCGCAGTCAACACCATCTTCCCTCTCCAAGGCCGCCCCGCAACATGCACGTATTGTGATATCCACATCACGGCACCAGCTGTCCCAGATATCCTCTCACTTGCAAAGACCACGTCAAGACGCAAAGAGATGGCTCGCCAGTCCTGGCGGTTCGAAAGCGCATGCTTCGAAGTAAGACATCTATGACCAAGCCTCACGAACCAAACATCAAAACTCTTTCTCTCCCCCTCTCTTCTTCTCCAGGGCATGGGTTAGCCTGTTAGCCCTACTTGAATGAAGACTGCGGCATTGGGTATCTGCGAGATCCCCCGGCCACAAGGGCCCTCCATGTTTGCTGGGGCTTTTGTGGGATGTGAAAGTGCTTCCCATCAACTTTTCCAGCTGCTGTTGGCCATCTTTCTGCATCCCAAGATGCCCGAAGTACTTACCAGGAGGGGGGGCTTCGAAAAAGGCAGCTATGTCCAAGCTTCATCGACATTCCCGGTGAAACAGACGAGCCTGCTTGACAGCTTCCACGATGGAGGCGGCATTGACGTTCGCTGCATATCTGGGGCATTTCTCCAACTTTGGGAAGCACGGTACCAGCAGTCACCATCACAACAGTACCAGTTCCGGAGAATGGCCGAGAAGGCTTGAGGAATGGAGAGGAGGCCAGACAAACCGTGCGAAACAGAACACGACCAGAAAGCCAACAGTAACGAAAAAGAAAACGCTCAGGCAGTCTCCGGCATTAGACATGGGGAAGCCGACTGCCTCGCGCTGACACATGAGGCATTATGCCAGCTTGTCTACACAAAGCCACAGAGTTGAAGTAGGCTAGACGGCGGTAAGACTGTGCATAGCTCCACAGCCATGCAACGGTTGATGATATAAACCCTGCATTACCCATAATAAGGAATATACCATAAATCCCATAGTTTCGGGTCCTTAAGGTAATGCAGGATTTATATCATCAACCGAAGCAGCCAGTCTTTCGTGCGTCCCAGCTGCTCTACCGCCTTCCAGCTTCTCCGAACAGCCTCTTCCACAATCTCTGGCTCCTCGGAGGAAACTTCCAGCTCTGGGATTTGAGGCTTTCAGGACCGCTTCAGTTGCAAGTCGAAACTTTGGGAGGGTTAGGAACAGAAAAATGGCTTTTAAACCCCCAACTATCAAGGAAGAGAAGGGAACAAGCTTAGCACCAAGAACGATGTCACAGCCCTGCATGCCTGAATCACTGAACCACGGAGGCTCTGGGGCTTTGCGATTTTGCGCCGAGGGTCGCTTCGAACCTTCTTTGTGCCGTAGGAGAGCACCTTCCGTCGGGGCTCGGAATTTAGAAGGAGCGGCGGCAACAATAGTAGTAACACTTGGCAAAGTACTAACAGTTACTAACAATAATGATGACAAGAACAAACGTCATAGTAACAAGCACAACAATAACAACAGTAATACGAACAATATTACTCCATGAATGGCAACAATCATACTAATAACAAGGTCTCGAGGTTCAGGGATGTCATTTAGGGGTTGAGGGCAGCTTCGGGATCTGGAACTTTGGGTTTGAGGTCCAAAGATTTCGGAGGAAGAACCTCGTCCCCTTCGAGCGGTGCAACAGACACTCCGATCAGCGCAACAGGGCTTCCATGGACGCTCTGACACTAAAGAACTGTTCGGGCGCAAGTTCTCCGAACTCTGAGGGGAGGGCACCGAAACACCCGAAAGCTCCATGAAGCACCGTGACACTTCTCCGTTACAAATAACGAAGACAAGAAAGAAACACCAGGGTCGCAGCGTTATTGCCTGTTCGTCTCGATGGTACAAAAGACCTGGACATCCTGAAGCGGAAAGGCCTCCACGTTCTGCTTCACCGCTGCCAGCATCACCTGCAAAACTTTACACTGGGGTTTGGGGCTGAGTCCAGCACATGTGACTCTCAATATCCACATCCTCACGAGCATCGACATCGTCAGAAAAATGCATCTCATGCGCATCCGGATCATCATCGTCGTCACCATGAGTGTACCTGCAATTGTCGCTGTTGTCGTCATTCTCCTCGTCGTGATCATTATCCTCACCGGCATGCTCCGTGCCATAACTACTCTTGAAATCTTCACCGTCACCAGTCAAAACCCTTATCTAATCACAATCCGAAGGCTCTTGAGTGCCAACGGAAAAGCAAGGATCGGTAGAAGTAGCCGTAGCAGCAGTAATCAGCGTACCATTATTAGTAGTCGTCGTCGTTGCCGTGGTCGTCGTCCAAAGCCTGGTAATGGCTGTCGACATTAAGAACGACTGGAACAACTCAATGCTCAAGCTGCTGACTTCCACGTCTCAAGAGGAAGCATGAACGGCCTCTTCACGGAATTCCTGCTACTACTGATCCTAGTGCATAGGTGCTTGAAAAAAACCTATGCCTGCTGAGCTGAACCACTCCGCACCTAAGCCACGACGCTGGGAGCCTCGGGGTTGTCGCATAAGCTGCTCGGCCCATAGTCTACGTAGGCCAGCCTCCAGGGGAGCATCTCTTTGCTGGGTTCTTGATACGGAAATCTAACTTAAGTTACCACGATAAGGAAACCACATTATCTACTACATATCCCTATTATGATAACTTACATGAAACCCCTTAACAAGAACCCAGTCTTTGTCTCACGAAGTCTCGGCAGCAACTCTCCCAGAGGTAGGGGGTCCCTGAGCTTCACTTGTACGGATGGGTCCTCCAGCCATCGTCGATCTCTTGCACCACGGACTTCCAAAAGGCCGGATCCTGGAAAATTGCACAAAGCGGGTTGTCTTCTGAATGCAGAGCTCGGGAAGGTTGGGGCTGCGGGTTTGCAGCTAGAGCCGGGTTCAAGCGTGTCTAGAAGCCTTCGGATAGGGACGGCTTGAACCTCCATGGTATGTTATGATATATATATATATATATATATATATATATATATATATTTGAGTATTATATAGTATACTATCACATATTATCATGGCCAATACTGCCGGCGTTGGAAGCTTAACGGCTCAAGGCTGGAGGCTTGAGTTCACAAAAAGCTAGGACATCCCCACGGATCAGCCGGCCTCCACCATGCCATAGTAAGTTAAAGATCATGAATCCGATTAACAGTGCATTCGAACAGTACTCTATGACAGGGCATACTAAAGTCTGGCGTGGTGTCTGGCACGGTTCAAACGGTTTGGCAGCATACAGTGCAGTGCGTACAGTACAGCATGCTATCGTGCGGTCGAACTTGCGCTTTGGAACATGTAGGTATGGACGCATGCATGCATGTATGCATGTAGGTACGCATGAATGCATGTGTTCATGTGTGCATGTATGCATGTGTGCATGTATGCATGTATCCATGTAAGGATCTATTCATGTATGGATGTGTTGATACATGCTTGTATGTACGAATGTATGCATGCATGAATGTACATACATATTGCATATATGTGTGTATGTATCTAGGTACATACGTACGTATATTTGTGTATATGTACATGTTTGTAGACGTCTATATTCTGTATCTTATCGCCTTTTTAACCTGCTGCATTCACACTATGTATGTACATATGTATGATGACTGAACAAATCAACAAATACACAGAGGCTTCGCATTTTCAGATCCTGCAATGCAGAAAGCCGCACACATGCGCAGCATTGGCAATGTGGCTTATGTCTCCAACGGTTCTCGGAGGCGGCCAGCTAGACTATATAGGGGCCTGAATAAGTACCTATACCATTTTGGGGGCTTCGTATCATAATTAAAGTATACTGTGTCGGTGTTTCGGAGCCAAGCCACAGTGGCCGCAAGCATACACCGTCCTCCTAATCCGAATACAAACTTACAACCCTCTCAAGAAAGGATACAACTCGGGTCCTTCACTTGCACTTTACAAATACTTGAAGATGGGATTAGGGTGAGGCATCCCAGGAAACTCCCAAATCTTGAAGCGGAAAGCACTCACTCCGACAACAAAAAAAATCTCTCATTGACCCGCACACCCGCCCCCGCCCCACCCCACAGGCCTCCTGTAACTCTGGAGACACCTGGTGCACCAGGCTCGCAGGGACTTAAGGACCCTCAATTGCGAGGGCTTATGCGACTAGGGAAGCTCCATGCTCAAGGCTAAACAAAGCGGCACCTGGCGAACGTGACTATTCTGTCGTCTGCTGCTTTCTTCTGCCGCGGAACACAAGGCGAGACAACAGGAGCCACGAAATCACTCCTGGCAGCCCACTGGCCTTTGTCAACGCCATGTGATGGTACTTGGTCGCGGCGAGCATAAAGGCTGCATCACCCCTGCCACATACCCGGCATCATGGTGGGGACAGAAGTCCAACATCATGCCTAAAGAAGAAAGTGACTGTCACAGGGGTGATGATACCGGATATAACAGGTTTTGAAATGCAAAGCCGCGATAATTTATGTGAAGTCGTGCAGGACAACGTCAACCAACTCTTCTTCGAGACAATGCAGAGTAGTTACACAGCAGGACTACTCCTCAGCAATTTTTGAGATGAGCCATTCTGATGCGTGCAAACATGTGCAGGATCGGTTAAAGCTATGATAAAAGCACAGTCACAGTCGCGGTCGTCAACATGACAACCGTACCAGTCGTAACAGTCGTAGCAGTCAAAATAATCGTGAAAATAATCGTGGTCGTAGAACTCGTCGTTGTAGATGTAACAAGCTTATCTTACCTCTACCAATAATCTTCAGTAGTAGTAGTCGTAGTAGTAGCAGTAGTCGCGGCAGTAGTAGTAGCAGTGGCAGTGGCTGTGGCAGTGGCTGTGGCAGTTCCAAGGACGGTGAAAGTGGTAGTACTGCTACTGCTGATGCTGCGACTACGACTACGACTACGGCTACGACTACTACTACGACTACTAGTACTACTGCTACTACTGCTACTACTGCTACTACCTACTACTACTACTACTACTACTACTACTACTACTACTACTACTACTACTACGACTACTGATACTGATACTGCTGCTGATACACTCATACGGATACTGCTACTGATACTGATATTGATACAAATACTCATACTGATACTGATACAAAGACTGATACTGATACCATACTACTTCTGGTAACACTGGCCCCTTCACTCTAAATCCTGAACAATGTTGGGGGTCAGCGCGTCAGTCCTCAGCTTTTCTCCAACGAAGTCCAATGCAGCAGCATCCTGGCTGACAGCCTTGGGCTGAGACAGCAAATGACTGCAATATGGGCGCCGCAATTGCTAGATAGAATAGGGTTTCATGCTTGCGGTTTAGATTTAGCGTTTTAGGGCTAAGGGCCTCCGTTGCTAGAATACAGTACCTTGAATTGTTCTTTCAATGGGTTACGATGGAAGTTCACGATAGAGGTGACTTCTGAATAGGATAGGGCTTTGAATAGAATGGTAAAAATACTTGTAGTCAGGCTGGAACCTCCCAAAAGCAATGTTGGTCATGATTCAAGCTTCTAGATTATTTCGGGCTTGGCGCTTCATTGTTAAGTCATCAGCACTTATTCAGGGCTGTGGCCATGCCTGCTTCGGCAGGGTCTGCCTGTTGATTGATTACAGTGTCGTCAGATTTGGGGATGCAAAGCTTCAGAGGAATGACTCAGATCTGCTCCCCTGGACGTGCCCGAGACCCCAGGCCGTGAAACCGCAACTCTGGCCATCCGGCCACTGCTTTCATGCCGCATCGATCGCTGCATCCTATACCTTAGCCTCCCAAAACCTACTTTTTGTAGGGCCCCTATCTTTCCATATTACGGCTTATAATAAGAACCTACAAAAACGTAGGGTTTGGTAGGTTAAGGTACCCCAACATCTTCGAACGTCAAGAACCCGTAGAGTTCTGCCTCGAGCACGAGCTCGTGGTCCTCGCGGAGGTCTGGGCCGAGAAACCTCGGCTCTTTGGATGGGTTCAGGGCGTTCTGCGAAGGTGGCAGAAGTTGGACACTGGGTCGAGAAAGCCGGTCGCCGGGAAAATGAAGAAGCTCCAACCCCCAGCCTTCCTGCTATCCAGGGCAGGGGGCTGGAATGACTGCCAGCGGCACCTGATGGCTTGGTGCATGAAGTCCCTGTCACTCCACATCTCCTCATCACAGTGCAGCAGCGCACGCCAGTGCCTTGGCATCTACGCTGCACTGGGATACACCATCATGCCCCAAACGCATGCTGCGGCGCTTGGGTTTTCAGAAACAGGACCAAAGCCGGCACCCGTAGCATCGCATGCTGCTTGCCGCAGCATCGCATGCTGCTTGCAATCACGCCAGAACAATAGAGCAGTAGCTGGTCAAAGGGGTGAGCTTCTCCCATCATCAACAATAACAGACATAAAAAACAACACTATCATCGCTGGTACCGTCATGTCTTCAGAACAAGAGCGGAAGCGGAAGCCCCACACGGTGAGATTGCAAGGTTATACTTCCCAGTCTTGAAACCCGAATATGGCACTCTCCAAAAAATTCTGTGCAGTCAAACTATGCGAAGCCTTTGTCTAACATCCCATTGCTTCTTAGGGGTGGAGGGTTTCAGCCGGGTTCAGCTTGCTGGGAGTCTAGTGTCTAGAGTCGAACTTCTTCGCAAAAACCCAAACCCCCCCTGTCGCCCAGGCACTGTTGCACTGCCTCCAGGCAAACCCCCGGGTCACGACGGAGGAAGGGCGCTGCATAGCGGAGGGCATTCCAGTTCCTGAGGAATTCTGGAGGCATCAACTCATCTTCGCCAGTTCCGTGCGTTTGAGCCCGATGAAGATACGGGAGGAAGTCCTGAATCGTCTATTTTTCAGCAGAAAGGCACAGTTTTCGGCCGTAAGAAGAAAGGACATATGAATACGGATCCTGACATCGGAGCCCTTGCAAGCACGCGGGCGGGGGGGGGGTCGTGAGCGGGACTTCGACGACTCCCTATCCAGTCAGTCAGTGAGGTTGTGACCCCAAAGCTGGAAAACCCTAAACCCTAAACCCAAGAGCAGAGCGTCTGCTTGATGGCTGCCCGGATGAGCTCCCGATCCTCCCGGTGCTCAGCATCGCACACCTTCCCGTGAGTCAGGGTGTGCCGAAGGCCTAGGGTGTAGGGTTTATGATGCCGTGAAGGCTTCAGTGCTTCAGCTTCATTGTTATGAGTCACGAGGGCGAAAACAAGAGCAATGAAGTGGACAGCAGAAGGCTTTGCATTTATTAGTAGTATTACTAGTATTGTTACTACTATTATTGCTATTATTAGTGGTAGTACTACTATTATTACTATTATTAGTAGTATTTCTACTATTGTTACTATTATTCGTATTACTCTATGCCAAGATGCAACTGCAGCCAGAGAGCAGAGAACATCGCGCAGGGGCCAACAACAACTCACATGACCTTGAAGTGTTTTCTGATGTCAACGCGACCCTGTAATAGTGACTATAAGTCTATAAGGCTATTATATTCCTATTATACCACTATTACAGGGTGGGGGCCCCTTCTAACACATGACTGATGCCAACGCGACGATCCTCCAAGGATTCCTCCTAGGATTGCTTTAAGGGTTCCTTTATGGATTTATGGGAGATGAGATTCAGGACTCAACCATCCCCTCTTTGTGTCGGAAGGCCTCAAGGACCCGCAGATTCTGGGCCGCGGCCTGACAAGGCAACCGCAACGAGCTGTCGTTGTTTTGGGTTTAGGGTTTGGGGTTTAGGGTTTTAAGGGTTTAGGGGTTTAGGGGTTCCGGAATTTAGGGCTTATTTTGTTGGGTATAGTTTTAGGGCATAATGGTTCATGTGCGCCTTTCCTTCCACACAGTTCCCGAAGGCTTGGTTTAGGGTTACTCTAAGGGTGCTTATAAACACGTTTTAGAGCTGAGGGTTTCTATCTTCAGAGGCATCGCGCCACCGTCCGATCTGTGTAAGTGTGTCTGGAGCTTTCGTGCAACACATCCCGTCTCCTGTACGACCCTGCGTCCTGCAACTGCACCTTCCGAGTGCTGCTCTGAAACAGTGCACAGTTCCACCAAAAATCAAGGAAACGCGAAGTCTGGCATGCGTGGAGAAAAAAGGCTTCCGATTACCGCAAGGGAAACTCCAGAACTCATCGATCTCTTCATGTGCAAACACAAACAGGTATTGAAGGTTCGACAACAGACTCGCAATCTCATGGAGACACTACCGAATAGCGTTCAATAGTTGCACCGACAGAAGAGTCCCGGCCTCAAGTATGAAGGTGCTGTCCTTAATCAGCCGGCCATCAACAGAGCATGATTGATTTGGGCCCACAACGGAATGAGCGGCATATGTATGGAGCATGCTTCACTTTGGTGTTCTGAAGGCTGCCTTTTTTGTCGACCGGCTTTCAGCACGAACGGAAGGTGGGCCGTAGCTTGGTACTTTCTCCCCAAGGACACTTTGACACGCATTGCTGCCGAAGCTCGAGCGCCAGCTGCGGAGAGACGAATTCCAAACTGCAGCTCCAGGGCGGCAGGAACCCTAAACTCTGGATTAGCTGCCGGCTGTTCGGGAATGGAGAAGGATTCTTCTGCAGCTGCAAAGACCTGTAGAGCCGTGATGAGGAGGAGTTGTAAAGTTGTAGAGATGTCTAGACCCCCGAAATTCTAGTAGTGCTAAGCTCAAAACGCAGATACCTGCAAAAACCAATGCTGCGGTCGATGGTCACACTTACTGGCTGACGTGGCCAGCATTCAAGAAGACCCACATCAGACGTCTCACATGTTAACAGACAAAGCTGAACGCCTGACACCTGCCATTCGAGTCCCAACCTCGAAAGCATAAAGGCACCCAGATCCTTGACATCCTTGAAGCTTTCAGCCACAAAGACCGAGATCCATAATCAACCCTTAACTCTGATCCCAAAACCCTAATCCCTAAACCCTGGACCCTGAAAGTACGATCCATAAACCCTGATTCCCAAAACCCGCAAACCCCAATCTCGAACCCCGTAACCCCTAATCCCTGCGCCCCATCATCCCTAATTACTAATCCCGAAATCCTCTAAATAATCCCCAAAGCCCAAAAAAATCCAAACCCCAAACCCCCTGCAGGCCAGCCACGCCCCGGCATCGCCACGGATCGCCGCAAGTGCCACAGCACGAGCTCCCCTGAGCTCCTGAAACACGAAGCTTTGGATTTTCGGGCTTTGGGCTTAGGGCTTAGGGTTTAGGGTTTAGGGTTTAGAGTTTAACCCTAACCGTTAGGGATTAGGGTTTAGGGTATAGGGCTTAGGGCTTAGGGCTTAGACCTCTAGGGTCTAGGATTGTAGGGTTTAGGCCTTCAGGTCTTAGGATTTTGGGGGGTTTAGGGTGTGGTGGAGGACTTCGGGTTTAGGATCTGTCACAGTTTAGGTGCATCGGCATCCGAGCCTAGACTAGAGGCCTCGCAGCACAAGGCTTCCTTAATGACTGCAAGAGGGATGATGCAGCAAGCAGAAAGCAGGGAAAACCTAGCTGGTTCCAAAGGAGCTCAGTTGTCGATCAAACATTGGGGTTCAGGGTATTGGGTTTGGGACAAGCACGATACCAATTGAAAAGCCCACCGTAGCCATCCCCTCCAAAACGACCTGGACACTGCTAGAACTTCTACGGGGCATTGATGCCTGAACCCTAAACCCTACACCCCATAAGCCCTGAACCCATGCAATTTCGGAACACACTTGAACGTCATCGCCCTGCATTCTACAAATGTGCGCTTGTCCGCTCCTCGCTCGCGTGGCTCAGAGCTTGGCCAGACTGAAGGACTGCCGACAGCATGACCTCCGAGGGTTACTACGGGGACGTCAGAGGACAAGAGGGTCATAGCATAGCAGGGTTGTTATTGTTGCGGCCTTAGTTGCTACGGGGATATCAAACCACATTAAAGAGTCATAGCACGGCAAAGTTGTTGTTGTCATAGGCCCCAACACCGACGGCGGCTTTTGCCGTGGCCAGAGAAAGACGAATTCACTCCCAAGAGCGTGTTCCCCGCACTCGTGGCCTCGTACTCTGCACAGAGCTCTTTCGGAGCCACATCCAGCACCCTCCAATCGCAGTCAACTGCGGCCCGCCAAGCCGCCAAGTCCATCGCGTACCTCAAGCTGACCAAAAACATAGGAAGAAGGGGAGCAGAGGCAAAGCTGAAGGAAGAAGCCAGGCCAGATCTTCACTCTTGGGGCTTAGGGTTTAGGAGTTTAGGGTTTTAGGCTTAGGGTTTCTTTGGGCATCATTCCTCTTACCTTTGGTTAACAGAGAATGGAAGAATGGTAGTAATAGTAGTTATCATTGTACCCCATTCTTCCATGCTAACCAAAACCCCTAAACCCTAATCCCCATTCCTCCATTCCCTACTAACCCAAGGTAAGTCCTTCGGAGACCGCCTGCACCCAGGCTTCCGCCGCCCCAAAAAAGCACGGCCCGTTTTGGTTGCAGCATCTCTGGGTCCGACTGCACCAAAAACTTCAATGACCAAAAGTCATAAATGTTATATATATATATATATGTATATATATATATATATATTTGTATGTCATATGATATATATATATATATATAGACAGACTATATTGTAATATAGTAAGAACAACAACGGTAATGAGGTAGACCCTGAGTTCATGAACTTCGATGCGGTGTCTGCGGCTACCACAGCGAATGATGCCTTCAACGTCGGAAGTCACTTGGCAGACTGCGTGCTTCCGGGTTGCAGCACGATGGGTGGAACTTGCAGAAACAGGCGAAACCACAAAAGCACTGCAGTGCTTGGAGCAAAGGCCTAGACTCTAGACCCAATGCTCGCCACTTCAACATGGTCGCCAGACTTCGAACAGATGAAACCGGAACCAAAAACGTTGCAGCATAGGAACATTGCAGGCCCCATGTCAACTGTACTGCCAGCGGCATGCGCGTCAGAAGAGCCATTGCCAGTGAAACGGTCGAAGCTGCATGGCTCCTTATGGATAGGTGTTGAAGAAGACTACGATTGGCCCAATTCACATTGCTTTGTCTCGATGTCGAAGATGTCGCTCGCTGGGGTTTAGGGGTAGAGTTCGCTGGCTAATCCTTTAACCCTAACCCGCCGAAGAATAAAATCTCACGCACGGGAGGTCTTGTCTTTTTGAAATGGGCCCATGTGGCGTTCTGTTCTTGTTTGAGGTAGCAGCCATGCTGAGGCTGTGCACTGCTGGAGCTGAGGATTTACAGGGTTTATGGGTTAAGGCCTCCTGCTCCGAAGACTATGCCGTACGCCTACATTTGCGGCAGCCTTGACAACTACTGAGAACGTCCGGCTATGCGCATGTCCAAAAAGCAGGAGCAGCTTTCATCTACCTGCCAAATACAGCAATCTTAAGGGTTTAGGGATTAGTATTAGTACTAGTACTACTATTTGTATTAATACTTATACTACTATTTAGGTTTCGGGTTTAGGGACTGGCCGCAAACAAAGACCCGCATTCTTGGATACTCAAAACCCAAAGCGCCCCCAGACACGATCCCCGGTATTCGTAAATGGTACACAGGCCACAAGTAGGAAAACCATAAAGCCAAAACGGTCACTTGGGTACCAAGAAATCCCCAAACATCAGGAAGATACGGATCTCCGGCTATCCCTTCTTCAGGCTTGGTCGAAACCATGCAAGTGCTCTTTCCGCGGCGTGTTGCCGGAAAACAGAAGACACCACAGAATCACACAAAGTCTACAGCAATGCTTGCTGCATCATCCGGCACGAAGAAAACCACAGTTGGCCAGTAGTTGTCGCTGACAATTGGAAACAACTTGCCAAATGGTTCTCGTCCCTCAAAGCACTGCATGGTGCCATCATCGAAGTTGAACAGAATGGCAAGCTCTGTCCCTTCAGCCCAGTTTTCCTTGGAGCGACGATCACGAACCCATCCTCCTTCATGAACTCTCTCGGCATATGCGCACACATTGGTGGAGCTGCCGCCGTGGTACAAGCCCAGGAAGCCGGGATCATGCTCTGGATCTTGAGACGGATCGGCCCGCGGGGATCCAATCCCAATTCCAATTGCCCAAGCTCGCTTATGGAGCAAGATGCGCATAAGCATTCGACCAGACAGCGGTGCCTGCGACGCCCCAAACATCACTCCAGTAGGCTCCACTAGTTCGGAACTGGAGAAGAAGGTCACCTTTTGTCCCTCGCAGACTTCCATCTCCATCTCACCACCAGGGGTCTGCTCAGAAACATAGGCGGAGGCAGGGTAGTGCTCAAATTGGCAGCGGGTGCAGGAAGACGCCAAAGGCCCAGTGGCTTTGCCCAAGTCATACGCCCGCGAGATCCTCGGCTTCAACAACTTGGGGGGCCTCCCCCTCGAGAATTAGGGTTTAGGGTTTGGGGTTCTAGGGTATAGAAAAAAGTCTACTTCTAGTCTCACTGGGCTGCTAGGCACCTCAACGTCAGGCCTTCGTTCTCTGACACGTCGTATGTGTGGCGGCGCCTAGGGCTTAGCTGCACGGGATGGTTCACTCCCAGCTACTGGTTGCCAAGCTGCTCAGCTCGGGGCCCTCTAAAAGCTCTCAGTGATCATCATCCCTGGTGCTAATTTAGGAGGTTCCGAAAATTGGGGACCCTTATGTAGCACCCTAAGTAGTAGGATCCTTATTAGAAGGGCCCCAAGATAAGGGAATCTCAGATTTGGTGAATGTCTCCTCATCCACAACTGCTGCCCGGAATCACGACGAGGAGGCTTGTCTGGCCGCCTAGCCCGGAAAAGTGAGGCTCATAGGGCTCAGAGGGCAGCTTCCAGGTTTAAGGGTCGAAGTATAGTAACATACCGGTGGCATTGACAATCACCCAGAACAGTAGCGCCTGCTGTGGGAAGCTCTAAAGTCTTCTGACGTGGACTCATACCTACAGAATTCTGACATTGCCGTCAACGAGACATCACACAGATTTCCGACGATCCCTGGCAAGACCGGGAAACCGAACCTTAACAGCTCATGCCCGTTGCTCTCGCCTGCACAACCTCTGGAAGGCCGCAGTGCCCCTTGGCCTTAATCCCCCACCCGAGCTGTGAGACCCGACCTGACGCAATTCTCAAACAGACCAGGTAGCAAATGCTGCCTATGGCAAGTAGGCCGCAGCATGTACAGACACACATTTCTGTTCTTGCGGTGCAGACACGCAACAGCAGTGTTTCTTTCAGATACTGCACTCGGGTCCCCCAAGCGCCTGTCACGTCGCAGAGCTTCGTCTTGCGGCAGAGAGGCAGAGGTCTCAGATGGCATAGAACAAGCTTGAATTGCTTGGCTTGGGGTTTGGGTTCAGGGCTTAGGGTTTAGGGTATGTGCCAATAAACGTTCCTGCAAGTTTCGGACTGGAAAGCTTGGGGTGCAGTTCGTATTCACTGAAGTTCCTGCCGCCGACGCTGCCTCTGTTGCGATTGCGGATATCCACGGCTAACTCAGGGGAAGACATCCAGGCTTTTAACAGCATCAAACTGCAATTGTCGTCCGACTATTGTGGGTATCGGGGTCGGAAATCCTTCTATGGCCGGCAATGACGGTAGTCTGCCTTTTCACACTCCCAACATCATGAGAAGCACCTGGGCAACAGGCGTCAAACCTAACCCAACGACCCCCAAACTCAAACTGAAAAGCCCTCAACCTTAAAGCTCTGATCCTGAAACCCTAGACCCTCAGGCCCTAAACCCTAAAGGCCCTAAACCCGTGAGCCAAAGGCGGCACAGGCGCTCCACTTGACCATCTGCCACCAACCTGCATCCAGAGAGGCTAATCAAGGTCCCCGATGTTTGTGGCGGGGGGGGGATCCTTGCAACAGACTTTTTTTGTTGGAGGGGGGAGGGGAGGGGAGGGGAGGGGAGGGGAGGGGGTATATGAAGGGACTTTTAACTTTGTGCAAACTAACAAATTTCATGTTTGTCTCCCACATGCTCCGCCTCTCGGGGCCGTGCAAGGCCCGGGTTGGAAGCTTCCGTTACGAGCCTCGAAGCGTTGGAGAGGTTCTTCTGTGCTTTGCGCTGACTACGCGGTTTCAGAGATCTTGTAAACCCTAAACTCCAAACCTCCCTCAACCCTCAACCCCAAAGAGGACCTAAAGCTTGCTTCTAAACTGAAAAAACGACGCGTCGTCGAAGTCCTGCCGGTACCTTTTCTCAAACGGGGAGCCCCGAGCTCGAAAATTGCGGCCCTTATAGGAGGGATCTGATCGTATATAGGCGCCTTCATATACCATGGTCATAATGAGGAACCCCCAAGATAGTATAAGGAACTTTTAAGGCCCCTATATTGAGTTTACGTTTGTTCGTAGTGATGTTCGGCGTTGCAGTCGAGAAGCTAGTAGCAGCGATAAACATTCCACTATGACAGGTGGCTACTGCTGTGGCGCTGTTCGCCCCTGTTACTGGGTGAACGTGATGCCACGAAGCATGCGCCAAGAGCATCAGAGATTGAACAGTCAGTCTGGAATACTGTCTGCTCTATGTCGCTTGCTGTCATCCCGTAGTCTGCTTGTCACATCAGGGCCAGATCCTGAAACGATACCTTGCCTACATGGTAGTTTCCACAAATTAGGGTCCCCCTACAACCCTGCAAATTTATATTCTTCCTTGTAGGGATCCCAAAAAAGATCCCGCTAGCGTTCCGGCCTCAGCCGGCCAACTTGCAGCCCCCTCCAGGCGGACGCTGCGGCGCAGGCATCGTAGACTGTCGCGTCCGCACTCAAAGAGACATCTGTCTCCTGCCCGGTATAGGGTTTAGGGACAGAACGCCTGGTGGTTTAGGGTTTTGTGGACTTTGCGGTTCAGGCTGTGCTCCATCTATTCGACTTGTAGAGTCAATGTAGACATGACTTGGGGTGCAGGTTGTAGAGTCTTGAGTCCACATCATCGCGTAGAGTTTGAGACCTTTGCCTGGGAACCTCCAAGGCAAACCTTCTTGAAGAGGCTTTCTGCATTCAAGTCGCACTGCCATCCACCATAGTGAGGTGGTAAGAGACTCGTTCCTGGCCAGCTTGCAACGTCATGGTCTAACACTGCATTGCCGCCGCTGCTGGGGCTGGAGTTAGCTTGCAGAAACACCCACAAAGATGCTACAATTGAGTGAACGCTGCTTTTTCCGCTGCCTCAAACCACGCGCGGAATGAACGATCAAGGAACAGGCCTCGCACCCACGCCCCTCCTCCCTCCTCCTGACTCCTCGCTCCTATCCTCACTCCTCCCTGCCTCCGACTCCTCCTCCTCCTCCTCCTCCTTTTCCATGGTCTCTCTGCTGCGGCTGCGGCAAACACAAGCCGTATGCTCCCGCCGGTGTCGATGATAGGACGACTACACGATGACTATCGTTTGTACCTAGCCCATTGCACGAAAAGTTGCACCTCGCTGCTCGCATGTGGATCAACAGCAGCGGCATCGCCTGCTGGATGTTTTCCCGTTTTCCCATCGAACTCAAGGGATTTGACATGCAATCGAGGAACTCAGAAGCCAGCAGATGAGACATGTCTTGACTGGAGGGCCATGTGCTCGGGATCCCCGAACAGTGGCAACCTCTGCATTCTCGCGCATCTACCAACACAGAGGATGGAAGGCGCAGTCCATGCGAGATCCCACTCAAAAGTGCAACCATTCCAGAAGCAATTCATGACATGCGCAAGGAACCCGATTGCAAGAAAATCAGCCGCGCAATTAGCACAAGTCCAATCGAAGGCCTCCTACACACTGCTGGGATTGAAGTGCCTGCATTGTGCATACTTGCCCTGTTGCACAATTGAAGGGACTCATGTTTGTCCTCAACTTCTAGAATGTTGTCTGCAATTCCGGGCGTCTTGTAAGACTCAAGTCGACCGAAAGTGCTGGCCTGAACACAACATCTTGGCTTTCTGAATTGATTCTTAAGGTGGGTTTGCGTTGCAAGCACTTCCAATACCGCCGTAGCATGAAACATGCAAACGTTTGCTTGCAAAACGTCTATATTCCTGGAACGAATGACGAGGGCCACTTTGCAGCTTCAACAGAAACACTGCAGAGTCTTCGCTGCCACAGTATCTCAAAGCCCGTGAACACCATGATCGCCTGCTGCCGGTGCCCGTTCTGTGGGGCCTTGGTTTTCGGAGCTGCCATCTTCCATGGCTGCGCCGTTGGAAGGCCGAGATGCTTCTCAGAGTGTGACCAATCCATTTGCCCCAAAAAATAACCGTCGAACTTGGTCCTCACTCGTACAGAACAATGAATGAAGATCTCAGACCTGACACCGACTGCAATGCTGTTGCAACGAAAAGTTTGCCATGCTTGCTATCTTGGGCTCATGGATTCATTGATGCGACTCTCTCTAAATCTTGAGGCAGGAATGCCGGCTTTTCCAGCTGAAGTAGGCTGCAACGAGCAAAATTAAAGTATCTTGGATTTTTTGGCCTAACGGCAAAATAGAGGTGCGAAGCACTCTCCCGCTTTGTTTACTGGGAAACCTTTAGTCGGAAGCTGGAACCAATCTGAATTTTCAACCTAAACCCCAAACTCTGAAACCCTAACACTACAACTTCCACTTTACGACGACGATGACGACTAGCACCACGACTACAACTCGACTACGACTGCGACTATGACCACTACTGCGACTACCACTACCAGTACTTCTACTGCTGCGATGACCACTACTACATGCGGACACGACACAAGCAAACTATCCCATTGTTTGATGCCAATCATGTTGTCGGGCATCCTCAGCGTCCCACCGCATCAACATGTAACATGTATCTGACACTGATTTCTGCATTGCCGTGCCTTTCATCACCACCAGCAGGTGAAAAGAATATGTATGTGACAAGCGGCGCCAAACAAGCTTCTCAAGAGATTTCCAAGTCTTCCGCTGCCTTGCGTCTGGCTTGGAGCAATCACCGGCTGAAACCAGACTCGCTTGGGCAAGACCATACGTAGCCACGTCGTTCAGCTTCCACAATGCTGTCAAAGTTGCGGAATTGCCAACATCCGAGTTGAAAAAAGAGAAGGATCACCACAAGTCCCATGTGTTTGCAGCTTGTGAAAAAATGAGCCCGCAAAACTTTGGATTGAGCAGTAACTGAGCTCTAGCCAGCTTTAAATACGTGAGTCAATGAGTGTGAGTGAGTGAACTTCGTTAAAGCAGTGCGTTCAGCTTGAACCTTTTGCAGTCCGCATTTCTCGCAGGTTCGGTTTTTCCAAAATTAACAAAACGCAACTGCACTTGCAACACAGGCAGCTATGGAAAGCCAACTACGTCCTTCGATCCCTGTAGCGCAGACGGACCTCGTCGACCACGCCTGTAGATACTCGGTGGTGTTTCAACTCGGAGTCAAAATACTGGCGAAGGAACCTTCTCTTTTCTTTTCTTAGCCTCTCCTTCCACCTCTTCAGTGCTGAAGAGGGCGCCACATTGGCAGACTCCACGGAGGAGAGCAGGCGTGAGCCACTGCTCCAAGCGCGAGTGTGGCAGATTCCCGGAAATTCCAGAATCTTTTGGTCACCATCACGGCAACGACGTGCACTAGCTTTTTGGACTGTTAAAGATTGTGGCCTCTTCTCCGAGAGGCAATGTCCGCAACTGGTTTTCCTACCTCGAACAGCAGTTTCCTTTTGAAGACTCTGCGATCATCTTGGAAGTGGGCGGTCCACCTCCGTGAAGCTTGTAGGAATCTTCAAGGAACTACATATCAACCGCAAAAGAGGTGAGACGTCCATACAACAGACACCTTAGAAAAACTCAACTCCAGCTCTGTTAAGATTCTCGTTTTGCCCAGTGCACATTGACTCTCACTCTCCTTTACACACACTTGTTTGCCTGAAGTCCAGTCTCGACCTCTTTTCGACGTCCTTGCATTGCCGATGGAGCGTGTGCCACTGTTCTTACAGTTGCATTCCGCTGGCTGCAGCACTTTTAAGGGCGAGCACAAAGCTGCTTTGGACAAGTTCCGACCTTCCAAACGGTCCTCCAACAGACGCTCCCCAAAGTCAATACAATCAATGACATGCGCAGCTGACGAGATTCAGCCGCTGTGGGTGCAGGAATCAAACTTGCGACCCCAAAACTGGGGCCGTCTCGCGGCCCCAGAAAAGGAGCCGCGAAATGCAGCCAACCTCCTTTAACATATTTTGACTGGCAACTAGAGGACCCCAAAATCGGGGCCGCTTGGCGGCCCCTTCCTATTCTGGGGCCCAAACCCAAGCCCGTACGTTCCAAACTGCTACATCAAGGCGACCCGCCCACAGGCAGGCATCTAGTGTGGAAAAATCATTCTCCAAGAACAAGAATTTCCAACAGACAGCTTGCCGGTGGAAGTGATAGACATGAGAGAACAGAGGGGGGCCACTCAAGCGAAGCCAAAATTGCTTGGATTGTTCGACCCCACATTTGGAGCCGCGTGTGCTGCAGTTGGTCCGTACCCAAAATGGACGTCGGCGACACTGGTGGCCGAACAGGCGTTCCAGACACAGCAGCAAGAACACTTCCACCTTTGAGCTGCAGGCGGACTCAGAGGACAAGCAGGATCTGGTCTAAACAAGTCAAAGTCCACTTTCTCAGGCACAGGTACCTTCTGGGAGAACCTTCAACTCCAATCTTGTGCGGGTGAAGCCGCGGCGCTTGACAGCTCTCAGAAGTCCGCTACCAAAAAAACAGAGTGTGCAGCACTTGATTTTTTTCTTGAGCTGACAGCATACGGAAGGAAACGAGACAAAACGAGTGTGGTCAGTAATCTGACTCAAAAAGCACTTCTAACAGTTTGAGGCAGACTGAAAAACACCAAAAATCAAATGCCAGTTGACAAACAGCGTCTGGAAGAATCCTGCTCGTCCACATGTTTCCAGAAATTCAGCAACCACCACGGGCCTGTGTGCGGAGGGGGGGCATGCGCAGGGATGCGGAATTGCTGAGCAACGCCTGTGGTTTGTAACAGCCGAATGCACCTCCTACGCAAAGAGACACGCAACCATGAAGCAATAAAAGACTCCGATTACACGATGCAGGGAAATTGAAGCAGAGGTGCAACCTCCGACAGCGAAAAGTGCAGTTCGAACTGTTCTTTTTGAGGGAACGCAACAACCGGTCTGGCAGCAAATGCAAGGCAGAGGCAAGAAATTTGCAAATGGGTCTCTGCTAAAAGAGCAAAAAAAATCTGGCGAGAGCCAGGTGAGCCCATGTCGTGCATGAGGGAGTTTTGGAGTTAAGCACCGTGCACAAATTCCGAACTGTCAGCCACACCTCTCAATACCATAACTCTGCACAGCTCAAGAAGTCCTGTTCAGATCTGGCGGAGATACCTTCCAACACAAGTCCGTGCTCTCCGTTTCACTTTCTCTTGTCAGGTTTTTGCCTGCGTCTGCGTACCTTGATCATCATCTTGGCGTCGCCTCCAGTGAGGCAGCTTGACAGACTGCCCATGTGCGTGCTAACGGGCGTCTCTCTCATTGCTTGAATGATGCCAAGCATGAGCAGCACCATAGCGCATCGGATTCACTGGTGACGACACATACGCTATGGCATAGTCTACGCCCAGCTCTGCATTGCATGGCCCTCGGAATGCCCAAAGGGTCCATCGATCTCAGAGAACTGGTCTACCATACGTTCAGTGCCCTTGCGAGACCCGATTGGGAAGCGGGAAGCTGGGCGCGATAGAGTCTCGAATGCAGAGCAATCGAGAACCAGCTCTGCGGAGCCAGTTCGTACAGTGTCTTGGTCTGGGAAGATAGGTGCAACGATTACCATCCCGGGCGGCGGGATAACCGGTACGGCCGAGCTCCGCGGCTTGAGACGCAGACTATGCAGCTGCCACCGGCGTCATTGCTGCAAAAAGTTGAATCTGCGGGTGGCAGCGATCGTACCCGCCTGCTAGGGCCCTGCGCCTGCATCGGACTTAGTTCAGCCATGTGACTCCACTACTGTGAAAAACAGAGCGCGCAGCACTCGGTCTTTTTCTTGAGCCAAAGCGGAGTCGCGTCGGGCTCTGACTGACAGTGAAACACCTTGCAGCTGTCTGTCTCCAAGCAAAACACTTCAAGCACTAACGAAACGAGACGAAACGAACGTGCAGTCACTTCCTAACTCAAAAGCACTCCTCACAGCTTCAGGCATGCCGAAAACATCAGGACATCCAAGGTCAAATGGGATTTTCTCTCGTCGTGGGCGAACAAGTCGCTGCCAGGCCATCGGCCGGCGGTTTGGGGTGAAACAGGCGGTTTGGTTTTGCCCACCTTTGGTGGGTTCTACTCACCAGTGGCTTCCACTGGGCTGGAAGAGCTTTGTCAGTAGCACCAGCCTTCTGAGCTACACCAGCAGGGCTGGTTACTACTGACACCAGTTCTGTAGGTTGTGGTGACTGGTTTGGCCCTACAGCTGGAGCTCTTTGGCCCAGACACCAGCTGGGCTGGTTGCTACTAGCACCAGTTACCTGGTTTTCACCAGCAGGGCTGGTACTGGTAGCACCAGTTTGGAGTTGTCCAGGCCTTAGCCTGAGCTCTCAGTCCCTACGGAAAGGGGAGGATAAGCCACGTTTTTCCCCGTACCAAGTCGTGCCGGTACTCGTCCGGGAGGAGGGGTTGGCCCAACAGTCCCTCCGGCGTTACCGCCAAAACGCTGGTATCCACCAGCACTTTCATGAGGGACTCGAAGTCCGTCTTAGAGAGCTTGGTCTTCGCCAGCTCTTTGAGAGCAACCGTGGTGCTCTCAAGCGACGTGTGATGCTTTATCACTGTCAGCTTGAGCTCAGCCCTCAAGGGATCATCGATGGATTTCCAGAACCCCGTGAGGCGCTGGACGTTTGGCCATTGGGGTCGGGTTCCCTCAGGGTAAGGGACCCACCCCAACACGTCCAGCATCACCATTTCCGGTACAGCCTGTCCTGGTTGTGTGAACCTCAGGCCCATATTGGCCTTCCCTATGTCCTTCACCAGGAGGATCTTCGCCAGGAGGGCCACCGTGAAGCAGGCCTGGAAGGCTTGAAAGGTGCTGAGCTGTGCCGGTATTGGGTGCACCGCCTCCATCTCGATGAGGGTGACCCATTTGGGCTCCTGGTCTGCACCAGGTCCTCTTTCGCAGAGCTGGTGAACACCAGCTTGCTTGGCGAGGCCTGGAGTCATGGCCCCCGTGACCTTGCACAC